ATTCTGACTCTACCGTGTATGTATATATATGAGGTTGCAAACTTTGTTCGAAATAACCCAATTTATTTTGAAATGAATACTGCCGGAAGTCGTCGTGAAGGAACATTGAAAGTTAATCACAAATGCAAACCACTTCTTCGAAGAATGTGTGTAAATTGAATGGCACCAAAAATCTATAATAAAATCCCGTTAAATATACGATTAATTAATGATATCAAAAGATTTAAAACTGCGCTCAATGGCTTCCTTGTTGAAAAAGTGTACTATGACATAAGAATATTTTTTGATGACAAAATGTAAAAATATACTTCAATTTTGTTCATATACCTCTAAGGTGAAACATGGCTGTATCTTATAATAATTTTATATGTGACATCCTGTAATACCCATGCTTATGAATTAATAAATGTTTGATTTGATTTGATAAAAGGCTGGCATTGCATCTGCAATTCTCCTGATGTTGTGGTTGTTTATGGGCGTCGGTAGCCTCCGTCGGTAGTCTTTCACTCACTCCTGAAGACTAAGATGCCGCAAAGCTCACTATTGAATTGTGTCTCTTGCCCATCAAACAGAAGACAACAAGAAACAAAGCAATGGGTGCATTGTATGTTACATGTAGTAGTAACCCAGAAGGATTCATTCTTACAGCCTATAAAAGTCTGCTGTCCAACATTGGCCTACCCCATAGATTGCCTTACAGGGATGGGATATTTGCCATATTTTTCATGCTTAGCATACGGGTTGGCAACTGCAGTTTTTTTTATTGTTTTGAGTTGTTCAGGAGGATACTGCTGCCTCTTACCTCTTTCATTTCCTGCTGTCGCTCGTTCCTTATTTCGTTCATAAGTATGACACCCTATTTATTATTCCGAGACTAAAGCATTGCAAGCAATAGTTCAGCAAATTAGGTGCCTCTTCATTGCTGCAACTCTATTCGTTATAAATTTGTTTATCTTTATTTTATTTTTTCTAATTTCAAGTGTATTACGACATATTAATAATGATGAATTAATTAATATGTTGTAATTCATTTATAATGCATTCACTGACTTCGGACAGTAATTTCTAAGATTCTAATAAAATCAAATTATTATTATGTAGCAAAGCCAATTCATTATTTTTGCAATTTTTTGATTGTTAGATAACGGATGTTTTTCAATGATTTCTTAAATTTACGCGAACACTTACACATTGGATAAAACTAAATTTACGGATTCTATCGCGTTTATTTAACTGATTTTACTTATTTTTAATTCCCGACGTTTCAGGTGTTTTACAGCAACCATGGTCATGGGGGGGACTGAGATGTTTGACATCCCAATGTCGTTGTTAGCCCGGCTACCTTTAGTTTTTGAATATTAATTTTTGGTCCGATTTACGCAAAACGAACTTACAGTATCTTGAAGTCTTGCAGTGGTATGCTTGGGTTTGGGTTTAATTTTGTTAATTATAGGATCCCAAGTAGATGGCAGCACCCAACCATCTTCTCTATTGAAATTAGGATGTTTTTTAATTTCAATAGCCTCGCGTATCATCCTTGGCAGGAATCGGTGTTCTTTTGCGAGTATTTGTGGTTTATCAAATCTGATGTAATGGTGGGGACGATCTTGAACATGTTTACAGACTGCAGACTTCCCGGAGCGTCGGTGCTTCACGTCAGCTATATGTTCTTTCACGCGGGTTTTTATGGATCTTTTTGTTTGACCTATGTAAGAGAGACCACATTCACAATCTAACTTGTACACTCCTGCATCTTGTAGAGGGATATTACACTTGACGGATGATAAAAATTGACTAATCGTCTTCGGCGGCGTGTAGTATGTTTTAATGAAAGCTCGCTTCAAGATGTAGCCAACCTTGTCTGTGATTCGTCTGACATATGGTAGTACAGCAGGCACATGCTCGACTTACATACTTTGTCAGATGGTAAAATTGTGAAGGTGTCGTCTAAGTACCACTTGTAGAATCTTGGATTTACAGGAGCAGTAAGAAGAATCCATAAATATGTCGGACTATGGGAGATACATGTGAGCCCATCGCCACACCATCTACTTGCTTGTAGAACTCTTCCTTCCACAGTAGATAGCCAGATGTGATGCAATGTTTGAGTAATACTGCATATTCAGCAGACATGTTTTTATCTTCTAGCTTCCTAGTTACAATTGAGTAGTTTCATTGTCAGCGAGATGTAGGTCTTTTATCTCACTAACAAAATGGTATGAATCCTTTGTGTGTGCTCTGGTATGTCCTCTCAGTGGTGACAGTATTTTTGCCAAGTGTTGTGCCAGCTTATAAGTTGGTGAATCGATCTGGCTCACTATAGGACGTAGTGGAGCGTTTGGTTTGTGTATCTTCGGTAACCCATACAACCTTGGTGGTTTGGTACATGATGGTCTTAGCGAATTCACGTCGAGATTTATTTTTTCGGAGTATTTCTTTATTAAATCGCTAGTTGCTTTAAGCGTGTTAGTTGTGGGGTCTGTTTTAACCTTTTTATATGTACTTTCGTCCGATAAAAGCTGTAGTATTTTAAAACTATACTCTAACGTGTCCATTATTACCGTAGCGTTTCCTTTATCCGCGCGGAGAATCGTTAGCTCTGGTCTGTTCCATAAGTTAATCAACGCTGTAAATTCGTCTCTAGGAAGGTTTGGTTTCGGCACTGCACTACGACGTAACAAGGACGAAATATCTTCTCTAGCCCTTCTTACTGCTCCTGTAAATCCAAGATCCTACAAGCGGTACGTAGACGACACCTTCACAATTTTACCATCCGACAAAGTAACTGCATTTTTAATTGCAGAAAATATCTGGCCGCCGAGCTGCAGCATGTCAAGCAAGTGCTGCAAGACAAAAAGCTTCAGATCACAGTGACCGAGTGAAGCCGGACACAGTCGAGCGTGTGCCTGCTGTACTACCATATGTCAGAGGAGTCACAGACAAGGTTGGCTACATCTTGAAGCGAGCTTCCATTAAAACATACTACAAGCCGCCGAAGAAGATTAGTCAATTTTTACCATCCGTCAAGTGTAATATCCCTCTACAGGATGCAGGAGTGTACAAGTTAGATTGTGAATGTGGTCTCTCTTACATAGGTCAAACAAAAAGATCCATAAAAACCCGCGTGAAAGAACATATAGCTGACGTGAAGCACCGACGCTCCGGAAAGTCTGCATTCTGTGAAATGTTCAAGATCGTCCCCACCATTACATCAGATTTGATAAACCACAAATACTCGCAAAAGAACACCGATTCCTACCAAGGATGATACGCGAGGCTATTGAAATTAAAAAACATCCTAATTTCAATAGAGAAGATGGTTGGGTGCTGCCATCTGCTTGGGATCCTATAATTAACAAAATTAAACCCAATCCCAAGCATACCACTGCAAGACTTCAAGATACTGTAAGTTCGTTTTGCGTAAATCGGACCAAAAAATTAATATTCAAAAACTGAAGGTAGCCGGGCTAACAATGACATTGGGACGTCAAACATCTCAGTCCCCCCCCGTGACCATGGTTGCTGTAAAGCACCCGAAACGTCGGGAATTAAAAATAAGTAAAATCAGTTAAATAAACGCGATAGAATCCGTAAATTTAGTTTTATTCGACGTTTTTCAAACTAAAAAATAAATAATTTGCTGGATAACATGTTTTCTATGTTATTCTATATTTACAGTACTAGTGGACTTTGGGGTAAGAGTTTGTATTTGTACTACATATAAGTATGGAAAAAATGTTTGTACAATAATTTATAAGATATGAGTTCACTTTGTACTCACCTTGCATCACGCATCATTTAGAAATGCTTTATTGCCATTGACTCAGCCAGACGGATGATGGTGTCATATATTTTCATTAATCCATTACATTGCTTGGTCCAAGTGACTCAATGAATATTGAATGTTTTATGGAAACAATGCTTAGAGGTCCCACAGAGCAAAGATTGTAACATTATATTTAAAGTGAATAAATTGAGTTTTATTTGTTTATCAGTAAGTATATGTACAATTATCTTGAGCTTGAATAAAAAATATACAGCTTTGGAAACAATTAAGGTATCTACATGAGTGGTCATGAATGTATGATACCCTTAGGTAAGAAGTATGATGATAATTTTTTTTAGAGAGGGAGAGTTATATTATTCCTCAATAAATTGTATATAAATAAATTTAGCATTATCATGCATTGAAAATTATCTAGCAGATTTTAATTATTTTAATTAAAAAATAAAAAATATCGCTAGTGCCAAACAATTTTGGCAATTTACTTAGATTTAAACATAAATAGTATAAAGCAAACAAATAATACCCTGTAGTATTATTTTTATTTTTAATTGCTCTGCTTGATAATTGCATGATATTTATATACTATTGTGTGTATAATACTCAGATTTTAATAATTTTAATTAAAAAAATACTTACTAGTAAATTATTTTGCTTGATTTTTTATTTTTAGCAATTTACTTATGTTTGAATCTAAGTAAATTGCTCAAATTTGCCTTACCAGTGATTAAAACCGATTTTGTATTTTAGCCTTCTCAGCTGAAATATTTTTTATGGAATAAAGGTGACAAACAAGTACAGTCCATCTGATCCTAAGTGGATGCTGTGACTCATAGGATTTTATATCTATCCTAGATTAAGAATCAAAATGCATTGTCACCCCTGTTGGGTCTCTGATATGAAACTCATCATATGAAACAGCAGCATTAAGCTGCTATTTCACTTTGATATTCTCAGAGAGTGTGATACTTACTCAGTCAAGCCAATTCATTCATCCTACAACCATAATATAGCTGCATCATGGCTCTACTGCTTATGTACAAATAGCATTATGCAGGATATATATATTCTGAAATGATCTTCAATTTTCTAGTATAATAGGGAGTTGTTACTTTGTTCTGGATTAGTTCCCTGTATCACTTTTATAATTAGGACATTATAACTTTTGTTAACAATTTTAAAAAGAAATAAAATCATAACAATTTTTTTCTTTCAGTATTCACATCTAAAGACATACCATTTCCACCAAGATCACCACAAGCAACAGAGACCGAGTTCCGTATGCGAGAGGTGTACAAGGTATAATTTTACTTAGTCTAACTTAAAATAATAAATCGATATACCATTATTTCGTATAATATTCTCTAAGTAAGCTTCAATGAGTCTATCACGCAGAGAAACTCCGAGCATAGCCCTCTCCATAGCTCGCTGAGCGACATTGAGTGTCCTCATATGGCCAGCAGTGAAGGACCACGTCTCTGATCCGTAAGTCATCACTGGTAATATACCAGATATAGCGGATATCCTCAGAAATGAGGATATCCGCAGTAAAACCAGAGTGACCGACATAGCCCAATGGATTAGTAAGCTGAAGTGGCAATGGGCCGGCCATATAGCTCGAAGAACCGATAACCGATGGGGAAGAAAGGTTCTCGAGTGGCAGCCTCGTACCGGTAGGCGTAGCGTAGGGCGACCCCCCACTAGATAGAGTGACGACCTGGTAAGACATGCAGGAAGTCGGTGGATGCAGGTGGCTCAGGACCGTGCTTTGTGGCATTATTTGGGGGAGGCCCATGTTCAGCAGTGGACTTGTGAAGGGGTGTAATGATGATAATGATGAATGATAGCTTCAATGATGAAATAGTATTAAAAATACCAACATACTGTGAGATAGATAGTAAACAGTTAGCCATCCTGTGACAGTGAATTTTTTAAATATATTGCAATTAAAAATGCCGATATTGTATTTTAAGCATGTTTTTTCAAAATAACTATTAAATTCACCAATACTACAGACACCATTATTTGTGACAGGTGAGCGGCAAACTGAATGTGGAAGGTGCGGAGTATCGCTCCAGTATAGATGACCTTCAACACATGGGCGAGCTAGGCAGTGGCACCTGTGGACATGTTGTTAAGATGCTTCACAAGCCTTCTGGCGCTGTCATAGCTGTTAAGGTAAGGGACTATTTGAAACAAAACATACTAGAGTTCTTGAGGACTATATCGAACGATGCCTTGAGCGCATTCTGACAGTAATGGTACCCCCAATTTGTATTTGCGTTTACGAGGTATACTTCCCAATAAACTTGGATCAAGCAAATGAAACAAGTGCTATGTGGATGAATGTGTTACGTAAAAAATTTAATACAGTTTGATCCTCCAATTTCCATTCATGACATAACATAAATAATACTCCACTGGCATTCACAGTAAAAAAACATCTTTCCTTAAAAAACTGTGAATAAGGGTGTTATACAATGTCTTATATCCTTTATCAGCCTAAAAAGTTGGACATAAACAAGCAACCTTAACTTACCCATCATGGTTAGTTTGGACAAATCTTTCGAAGTCAATTGGTTGGTTAAAAAAGTCTGATAAGGTAAGAATTTTATGCCATAAAGAGTTAAAAAGTTTTGTTACTATCCTAAAAATATCTTTTGTAAACAAAATATAAAACCCAGCGTGGTTAGTTTGGACAAATCTTTCAAAGTCAGTTGCTTGGTTAAAAAAGTAAAAGTGCTGTGCTATAAACAGTTAAGGTTTTGTAACTATCCTAAAATATCTTATTTGGACAAAATATGTAATATAATTAGTCCAAATAAGATATTTTTAGGTAATTGTTTCTTGTTCCAGCAAATGCGCCGTTCAGGGAACTCAGAAGAAACTAAACGCATCCTCATGGACCTGGACGTGGTGGTGCGCTCACACGACTGTCCCTACATCGTGCGCTGTCTCGGCTGCTTCGTGACGGACGCCGACGTGTGGATATGCATGGAGCTGATGGCATCATGTTTCGACAAGTTATTGAAGCGGCTAGGCGGTCCAATACCCGAGACTATACTTGGGAAAGTCACTGTTGCAGTAAGGATTATAGTTATTATACTTACTTTTGATTGATCGATTGAGCTGGGCTTGCTTTTGCAACTCTTCGCCTAATTAAGCGTGTATTTTGCATATGGCCAGGATAAGCCACCAGAGCTCCTCTAAGTAGTTTTAGGCTCACACTTTACATTGCTGCGGAACGAAATAAAGTAAAGTGAATCTTATGTTAAGTAAAAAAAATATGACCAAAAAAGAAGTCGCGCGTCTTCCGGGGAAATCTCGAGAATTCTCGTAGCTACTGTCGGCGAAGTCTGTGCAATTCACGAGAAGTGGCGCGAAGGGCGTAGAATCTAGACTTATTTTTTACAGACCCAAGGCGTATAGGCCGTATAGGCAAGTCGAAGTCGTCAAGGCGAAGTCGCATGCCCGCGCGTCGCAGCGAAGTTGACGCTTCCGGTCCATTCCATTCCACTGCAATGTAAATTGTGCCTTATACTACGGTATATTTTTATGGTGGTCTAACTATCTTGTTTCCATTAGACGTAAAATACCTACATCGCCGACAAGAAGTGGCGACATTGCAATTGTAATGAGGGCTAATAATCTTCCGCTCACGAGATAGATGTCGCTAGTTGACACTGAGGTGAAGTTTTTTGTTACACATTGTCATTTAAATTATGCGAACAAATTAACTTCCCTGCTATGAAATCTGTCAAATATTACACCACGTTTTTATGTTGCACCGCCCTGGTGCATGCATGGTGATTAACAACATAAATCTCTTGCATAATGGAATGTTCTTCAGTGTGCTTTTACAGACTCATGAAGATGAATAAGGTGGCAGTTTGATGCAGTCAATCCACAATTTTGTTTTGTCCTTTTACAAATGTAATTTGCACTTGGACATATGTCCAATTTCTGGGCAATCGTTTGTAGTTCGTACAAACTGTCTGTTTCATTCTTGGTTTTTAAAACTATATAAATAGACTTTATACCATTATACAGTTGAAAAAATATCCACTACCCCATATCGTCCCGTGGGTGTCCTAAGAGGCGACAGGAGGTTTTAAAAGTGGTAAAATAAAAAAAAAATTGTACGACCAATTGCAATATAAATAAAATGAGAGCATTATCAATGTAGTCGAAGTCAATTAAATACGCATTATTAAGAATAATTCAAAAACTACCGCTCAGGTCTTGATCAAATTTATATGGAACCACATAAAAAGCACTAGCTTTCAAATAAAAAAGAATCATCAAAATCGGTTAATGTGCTGTGTTTTGTATGGTGAGTGTAGAGAACCGGAGACCCTTTTTACTGGAAACGAGGCATTCCATCTTAGTGCTCACGGGTGACAACGCATCTGCATTTTGATTCGTAATCGGGGATACATGTAGGTGTGGTGTCTATGGGCTACAGCAACCACTTACCATCAGGTGAACTGTGTGCTCGTTTGTCACACTATCCTATTTAAAAAAATCATAAAAAAACAGTGGAATTGAAAACTTCCTCCTTTTTTGAAGTCGGTTGAAAACAGGAGACAGGCAGCAGTGTTTTCCTAATAACATCTAAAAAATAAAAAACTGCAGTTGGTCAACCCGCCTGCTAAGCGTGGTAACTATGGCAAATATGATCCTGTGGGATAATCTGTGAGTTGTAACGGTGACGGTATTGCTTCATTCCACTGCTGTTTACGCGTAATTTTACTTTAGCACATTTAAAAAACTTTTGTTATATTCTAAGTGCACAATAACATGTAAACACTATTATAATAATTACTTCGAACTAGAAGGAAAAAGCGATATAAAAAAACATAATGTAAAACCACAATAATAGAAAACAATGGTGCCAATCACCTACGCCTCAAGTTAAGATGAAGCGTAATATCCTCTTATGAGACAATCTGAGGGGGGAGGCCTGTGTTCGGTGGTGGAATTTTGGTAGGCTGTAACAATACAGTTGGTTAGATTTGTTTGTTTATGTTGACAGACGGTGAAAGCGTTATCTTATTTGAAAGAGACGCACGGCGTGATCCATCGGGACGTGAAACCAAGTAATATCCTGCTGGACGAGCGTGGAAACGTGAAGTTGTGCGACTTTGGTATCAGCGGCCGCTTAGTCGACTCCAAGGCCAAGACAAGGAGTGCGGGATGTGCAGCCTATATGGCAGTGAGTAGTCCAACTGTGTTCCTAGGCGACCTTTACCTGGATCACATTTTTTTTTTATAAAAGAGGGTTTAGCCTATATGGCAGTGAGTAGTCCAACTGTGTTCCTAGGCGACCTTTACCTGGATCACATTTTTTTTATAAAAGAGGGTTTAGCCTATATGGCAGTGAGTAGTCCAACTATGTTCCTAGACGACTTTTACCTGGATCACATTTTTTTTATAAAAGAGGGTTTAGCCTATATGGCAGTGAGTAGTCCAACTGTGTTCCTAGGCGACCTTTACCTGGATCACATTTTTATTATAAAAGAGGGTTTAGCCTATATGGCAGTGAGTAGTCCAACTATGTTCCTAGGCGACCTTTTACCTGGATCACATTTTTTTTTATAAAAGAGGGTTTAGCCTATATGGCAGTGAGTAGTCCAACTGTGTTCCTAGGCGACCTTTACCTGGATCACATTTTTATTATAAAAGAGGGTTTAGCCTATATGGCAGTGAGTAGTCCAACTGTGTTCCTAGGCGACCTTTACCTGGATCACATTTTTTTATAAAAGAGGGTTTAGCCTATATGGCAGTGAGTAGTCCAACTATGTTCCTAGGCGACTTTTACCTGGGTCACATTTCTTTTATAAAAGAGGGTTTAGCCTATATGGCAGTGAGTAGTCCAACTATGTTCCTAGGCGACTTTTACCTGGATCACATTTCTTTTATAAAAGAGGGTTTAGCCTACCTGATGGTAAGTGTCGACCTCCGCCCGCGATCAACTGCAACACCAGAGGAATTGCAGTTGCGTTGCCGGCTTTTTAAAAAGGAGTAAGCTCGTTTCTTAAAGTTCCCTAAGTTGTATCGGCCCGAAAAAGTGTCCGGTGGTAAACAATTCCACAAATAAGTCGTCGACACATTTTTTAAGAGGAGCATGGTAACGTATATAACACGACTGTGGTATTTCCTACCGCCTCGTTGTCTCCGAGGCCCAGGTCAGGGATACCTCATAGTGGTGAGCAGAAATTATAATAAAAGTTTAAAAAATACCGGTAAGTTCCTGGCATTTAGCGGTTCTGATACTTGATGCTTTTTTTATGCTTATTTGACTACTAAAGTAGACAAGTACCTTTTTATTTTTATTATGTGCGAGCAGCTATGCAGGTCTAGGGAAAGAGACCAGTATCACTGCGACCTAGAAGATCTATTGTGATCGCTGCTATGGCTATAGTTCACGGCTAAGCCCTATGTCTTCAATGAATAGAACGAGTTGCTTAGCCATGAGCAATTTCATTTCTTCTGGGTGGAGTAGATAGTTTCCCAGATGAGTGTTACGTTTGCGCATTAAGGGTCCGCAATCAGTTAGGATGTGTAGAGGCGTTTCTTCCGTTATGAAACAGAACCGATACATCCTTGAGTTGCTTAGTCCCAGGATGGACATGTGCTTTTTGACAACAGTGTCCAGTTAGGGCTCTTGCCAGAATTCGTTATTTTTTTTGTACTTAATCTTATGGCTTCTGTGGCGAATTTACGATCAAAAGCTCGGAAGGAAGGTTTTAGAATGTTTTAAGCCTGGTGTGTCAGACTAGATCTTAAGTGATTTATTGTGATAAAGAGTTTCAAGGGTCAATCGGGCTAGGCTTCTTGAGATTCCACAAAATGGCTCAGGTCCAAATTGTGTGCACTTTGAGTCCTCCCATGCAAGTTTGTCGGCAAATTCGTTGCCTACAATACCCTCGTGACCCGGAACTCATCTTAAAACGACCCTGTTGTTACATCCCAGGGCGTTTAAACGACAAATACTTACTTAGGTAGGAATCTTTATTTTTTCTTGTATTTATAGATGTTATTCCTCTTAACAGCCGGAGCGGATAGACCCGCCTGACCCGAGCAGACCGGACTACGACATCCGGGCAGACGTTTGGTCACTTGGAATTTCATTAGTGGAACTCGCCACTGGCGTTTTTCCCTACAGAAACTGTCAGAATGACTTCGAGGTTCTTACGAGGGTATGTTTTTTATTTTAACTTCATATAGAGTAAACATGAAATCACGCAGAAAAACTCCGAGCATACCCCTCTTCATAGCTTGCTGAGCGATTTTGAGCTACCTCATACCATGCAGTGAAGGATCATGTCTCAGATCCATACGCTGTCAACATGCACTGGTTATAAAATCTTGTTTTGTTTTGTGGCATTCCTTGGTTGAGGCCTAGGTTCAGCAGTGAACTTGTGAGGGGCTGTAATGATGATGATAATGATGATGAAGCAGATTTTATGTTTACAAGAATATATACAGTACTTATAAAAAAACTTTATATTAAAGGGTAATTGATATAAGAGAAGTGCTCTTGAAACTAGGTAATATGTACAGTTTTGTTTTTCATGCAGATCTTAACTTCTTATTTTTTAGTCTTTAATCGTTTAACTTTGTTAAATTACCCTTTTATATATTTTCAGGTGATCGCGGACGATCCGCCGCAGCTGCCTGATACGAGCGACTTCACGCCTGAATTCAAGTCGTTTGTATCTCAATGGTAAGTTTGTTTATTTGCAAATTACTTTTTCTTCTAATTTTACTTGCAAATTACTTTTTCTTCTCGTTCTTCTTTTTTATCACCGTATAAAAGTCCTCTACTATTCCAGTAAGATACATAATACAGAATGAATACACAAAATAAAACAAAAAAAAAATCGGGAATATTAAAACCTTATTTCCAAAATGGTGAGTCGTCTACTCAAACTGTAAGAAATTTACGAAAAAAAAATTGGCACAAAGGATATGCCAAAAACGCAGGTTGTGGATTAATTTGTGAAACGAGTTCGTAAAACTGGATCGTTTTGGATAAAACAAACGTACATTCAACAATACCCACCACACTCGATCCTGGGTGCCAAAGATAATTGTTAGCAGCTATGAAACTTACATAAATAAAGTGTATATATCTTAAAATATATACACATAGTACATACATACATACATACATAAAAATATATATATATATATATATATATATATATATATATATATATATATATATATATGATGTGCATAAACTTTATAAATTAATATTTGAAATAAAAAGAAAAAATGTCAATGTGCAATTTTTGTTTAAAGTCCACTTATAGGGTTAACAGAGAGAGTAGATAAATAACAAAAACGAATGCTATCTGTATAGCATATACAGGTTTGCCCAACAATTCGATTGCGGAGTTAATTTTGGTCAATTGCTCGCGATCTTATCTTAGACACTATTTAGACTATATGCTGTACTAATTTAGGGATCTAGTCAGAGCGAAAACAAAGTATAAGTATAGTATATAATTTCACAGCACTATTTCTCCCGACACATTTTTATAAGGTAGAAAATCTCGTGTACATAAATGTTGGTTATCCCTGCTCTCTAGTGGGTGGAAACTCTGACCAATTAGCTTCGACTCTCAAATGGTTCTAAAGATATTGTTACTTGTATTCCATTCAAGAGAACATTGTATTCATTTGTTTCAAGCTCAAGTAGGCTCAACTCAAAGTTGTCTGTTTACTATTTTAACTAATTTTTTTTCACCAGTCTCACGAAAAACTACAGACAGCGGCCGAAGTACCCTAAACTGCTGGAGCACCCGTTTGTGGTGAAGTCGTCCCGTAGCCCGGTGTCGGTGGAGGAGTGGTACGCATCGCTGGGCAAGTGCGGCGCGCCCCCCTCCCCTGCGTCGCCCCCCTCGCCCGCGTCGCCTGCCTCACCCGCCAACGGGTACTCGGGCCCGTCCACGCCGCAGCCCGTGCGCAACTTCGTCACCAGCTCGAACCACTGGACGCCTGAGCAAATCACTCCCACGCCTGGACGGTCAGATAGTTTTTTTTATTATTACGAGGGGCGTTCAATGCATTCACGGTATAAGGGGTGATTAAAAAAAATCATTAGCTAATGACACTACCTGAATTATAAATAAGAAATTTCGTCCTGAAAACTTCATTACTTCTTATGTAACCTTTAGTCATAGACGACGGGAATGATTGACTAAACAATGTTGAAAAAAAATCAAACAGTGCGGTGATTAAAATCAAAAAAACAATAATGAAGAAATGGTGGCCGTTTAGCAAGACTGCTTCTTTAATTTCAACCGTACAAAACACAAAGTTTAGAGCTGTGTAGTGACTACCCAACAAAGAAGGGTCTTTGCATTGGCACAAAAAGGGTTCGGACTTCCCTTCCCCCTCCCTCTTCCAAGAAGTTCAAAATCACTCCATCTGCTGGTAAAATCATGGCCACACCTCAATTCCGCTGTAAATGAGCATTTTTCAGGCCAAGACGAATAGGAAAGCTTTTTTCACAAACAAGTTAATGTATTGATGTCAAGGGAGACTGTATTGAAAAATAAAAACTATTTTATAATTTTTTTTTTCTAACATACCGGGAACCGATAATACATTGAACTCCATTATTAACCGTGTAGATAAAGAATGGGATTAGAAATGGCGACTCATCGAACTTGATACTGTCAGCATACACAGTACCAAAAATGAAAACAACGCTAATAACGTTATTTAAAAAAATATGTTGGTTTTTTTTAATTGACTAATTCGTATGTATACTATATAAGTTAAATTTTCTAATTAAATAAAATTATTAACGTAGATATAAGATGTAAAAGTATATATTTAACACATCCCTTCTGTTACTTGGGCCGGAAGTTAAAAGCAATTAAAGGCAAAAAACTTTTATTGGATCACCTGATTCATATATCATGATTAATATAATTTTTTTTGTTATCGGTATCGGTGGGATTGAGTATAGATAGACAGAGTGTAAGCGAGAGGTGAATAGAGGCGATGCCATTTATAATTCCATTCTTTATCTGCGCGAGATATACATATTGTTACAAGCCATAATTGATGCCCCTAGCGCCATCTAGTGTCGGGGAGCAGAGCGAGGAGAGCTCTCTGGAGTATCGAATAGAAGAATTAAGCTTTCTAGAAAAGTCCTCACTCGAATTTTCTACATCTAGTCGGTCAGGACCGGTATTTGCTGGAACATTCTAGATGTTTCGGTGGAAAAGGCCTATAAAGCCGTTAAAGGCCGCGACCGGGGCAGTATTGAATTGGCGACACAAGCGAAGACTTCGAAGCGAAATAAAGTGAACTAAAGTATTAAGTGTGATTAATTATTAGTGTGTTTTAAGTTTTAATTGCTGACGGTAATTAAAGTGTCAATTTTGGTAATTCAATCGGCAGTTTTTACTGTCACGAACCCTAAGCTCGTAACAATATTATACATTACAGACTATCAAAAACCCACTGCTAAAGGTAGACTTCTTCCAGAGATTGTTTCATAGGGTAAGGCTAGGCAAGTGGGTTGGTGCCCGCAGTTTTTTTTATTATTTTGAGTTGTTATTTGGAATATGCTCAACCTCTCAAATATATTTGTTAGTGTTATTACTTTATTTTATATTAGCTGCTGACGCTGGCTTCGCGGGACGTTAGTTAAACTTTAGTAATAATACAATACAATACAATACAATACTCTTTATTGTACACCAACAAAACATTAATAAATAATAAAAAGAATAATGAGGGATAAACAAAAGGCGGTCTTATTGCTACATAGCAATCTCTTCCAGACAACCCAGAAGAGGAAATAAATAAAAATAAAAATAAAAATAATGGGTAGGGTGCACTAAATTAGACAAAAAAAAAAAAAAAAAATATAACTTATATACTATATAATGACAACATACTTAAGGTATATTAGTGACCATAACTAAGAGGAGAAAGAGAGAGGAGTTAAAGTGACAAATAGTGTTCCTTAATTTGTTTCTTGAACACATTTAAAGACTGAGCACTTTTAATGGACTGGGGTAAGGAGTTCCAGAGTCTTACTCCAAGAACAGCAAAAGATTTATCATAATACTCGTAAAAAATATACTTAGACCATTCAACCCTTTGAGTATTCAACCAACTGGAGAGGCCATGCGCGTTAATTCCTAAATAAAAATTCTGTCAACATAGGCAAGTGGGTTGGTGCCCGCAGTTTTTTTATTATTTTGAGTTGTTATCAGGAATATGCTCAACCTCTCAAATATAGTTGTTAGTGTTATTACTTTATTTTATATTAGCTGCTGACGCTGGCTTCGCGGGACGTTAGTTAAACTTTAGTAATAATACTCGTAAAAAATATACTTAGACCATTCAACCCTTTGAGTATTCAACCAACTGGAGAGGCCATGCGCGTTAATTCCTAAATAAAAATTCTGTCAACATAGGCAAGTGGGTTGGTGCCCGCAGTTTTTTTATTATTTTGAGTTGTTATCAGGAATATGCTCAACCTCTCAAATATAGTTGTTAGTGTTATTACTTTATTTTATATTAGCTGCTGACGCTGGCTTCGCGGGACGTTAGTTAAACTTTAGTAATAATACTCGTAAAAAATATACTTAGACCATTCAACCCTTTGAGTATTCATGATTGGAGAGGCCATGCGCGTTAATTCCTAAACAAAAATTCTATCAACAGCAGGGGGGGGGGGCAAGAAAACGACACAACAGTATACTTAACTACAAATGCAAAATTAAATCGCGTTACTATAAACGCACACTACAGCATTTGTGTTTGTGTTCATCGCGTTTACGCATACCATCAAATTGTACACGTGTCGATACACTGATGGCGTTGTCTAAATGCGTAAGCAACGTAAGGCGTGGACTTTTACCATATCGATATTTTATGTCGATGTTTTTTTCGATAAACAAATCACCGCATAAGTTTTTATTTGATTATAAGTAACCAAGGTGTTATTTGAAATTCTGTTTTTAAAGTATTTAGAAATGTTCTTCGGAAAAAAACGTAGACATTATTGAAAATAAGTTTATTATTTTGCTACAGGTTTATTTTACATTATGCAGGATAAAATTTAAAACATTTAACAAATCGAAATAGGTTTAGTTAACTTATTTTAAAAATCAGATTTTTGAAAAGAAAAGTCCTATCAGTTTATCGTCTTAGATTAACCAAGTTTTTGTTTTTATTATAAAGCTTCAATCACAAAACCGCTAATTAAAATAGTTGTTGATTTTCAAGAGTTATTAAATGAACTGTCTGGAAAATATTGAAAAAATTAGGAAAACAAAAAAGTTTTACACTATATAATAGTTTAACAAAGTGAACTTTAAACAGACAGCTGCTTAAAAATAAAACGTGACATCTACCTAGGGCTAAGTATTCTCCAGAAAGATGTTTTGCTTTAACTTTACATTACTATTCAACGAAAGCTTAACAATATGTGCGAAATATCAAAAGTTTTGAAATTGGTCTGCCTTCATCACATACTATAACAAAGTGGTACAGTACAATTTGTGGCCGACTTAGCTACACAAAAAAGCGTTAACTGTTTTAAAACTTAGACTAGAGAGTAACACTGACAAGAAATTATATTGTATATTAGTGATAGACAAACAAATAAAACAATTGACGGAGTACATTGCAAGTTCTAAAAGACATTTTGATTATATACATAATGCCTTTGGCTAGTAGCATGGTAGTCTGTCAATTGCTTGATTTTCATTTCATCCATTACCAAGGTACAATAAAAAAACTTATCAGGGTTACTCTCCGCTCTCAATTCTAATGCCGTCAGCGCTTCTTGAGTAAACCCTGGTCGGCGATCGATGGTAGTGTACCACTTAGTCAATGTACGGGTGCAGGCAAACATTCCCAAAAAGTTTTACGTACACTTGTGAAGCCTGGTTATGTTATTGTTTTTTATGTCAAGGCATTTTTTCATTTTAATTTTCCTTGGCCTATGTGTTGGCTCGTACTCGCAGTGGGAGTAGGACTAGTTCGGGCTATATAAGGATTTTTTTTTCGAATTGTGACTTTCGAGATAACTTATGGAATTTTGCCGGAACATCCAGCTTTCTTTTTTCGATGTAGACGATATTGTGCAATCACCACGATCACCCTAAAATAAATAATTTTATTTTAGTCGGAAGACTCAAGCTATATATATATAAGATAAATGTATTTATTTTGTAAAACATGAGTAAATAAAATACAAGTGTTAAAAAACTTAAAACGAGCTACATGTTTTGCCATTTATGGCGTACAAAAATTATACTACATTAAGTTTACAATTACAATAATACGTATATAAATATATGAATTAAATTTCATAGGTTAGTGCTTTTGTAAACTTAATAAAATATTTTCGAGTAGAATAATATTGGTGGCAAAAGTAATAATAAAAATATTTAATCAAGGTTGGTACTGAAGTGTCAGATTCATGGTTTCTACAAGCTACAAACCAAGTGTGCCGCCTAAGAGGATCTCTTGGAAATCAGTAATAACAAACCAATAATAGAAAATTTACTACTTTTTGTAATACTTTATTATAAAATCTAAAAAAAAAACTACAAACCGGTTCGGCACAAAAACCCACATGGTTAATTAACTTATCGATAGCTAAAGTTGCGGCGTTCATCACTATAGTGCAATACTTTCGATTGCAGTGATACCAGTTTATTTTTATAAAAATTGCACACTTTTGCTGCGAGGTAGCAAGTTTCGATTTGACTTATTTGGCCTGTATTTTGTATAATATTTGAATAAATACTAGTTATCGATTATATTTAATTGTATAATATTCAGTATCGTGTTAAAATTGAGCTGAATATATAAATCATTTAACAAAATCCACTACACATTTATATGTAATGATTATTATTCATCTCAAACTGATTTAGTTATTAGGAAATATATTTTCGTTAATATATATAACTTAAGTAGTAAATTATATTTATTTAAAAATAGATTATTTTTCACTTTATGAACTATGATGGCCACATTCGGTTTTGGACGACAATATTCACAAAGTACGAGTTTTAATGATAAATTTTAATATTATGTTAAAAATACTCACATATGAAAAGTCACATTGTCCTCTTGTATACTTGACGTTTTTGATTGTTTTTTTTTTCATGTAAATACACTGCAATTTGGCATTTTGTCGGAGCTCGATTTTCTAGCACGATCACTTCTAAATGACGCACAACGCGGTGTAACTAGTTTTATATAACGAGTATGAGTCGGACTCTCGTACCTTTTACAGAAGGGTATGCCTTGCGATGCCGTCTCCTTTGGTTTAATACTCAAAGATTCAACCCAATGAACGAATAATGCGCCTTATGCTACGAACAAAAAGTCTGTCACTTGGTGCGGGCGAGGAAACACTACATATACAGTACCTCTACTTACTCAATAAAATTTTGTGTCATTATGGCGCACACATATGTAAATCTCCAAAACTATTACATTTTACGCACACTTATAGGTTAAATCCATTAACATAGAAAAAGTTATAAGTGTAAGACGGAGAAATTACTACCATATCGATAGTTTCCTTAAAAAAAAGAGAAAAACACAAGCATTAGCAAAATGCACTCGAACAATTAAAATCATCTCTTTAGTTGATCATCGTAGCAAGTTTTCTTAAGGTTCCGTAGTACACAACAAGTAACGCTTATAGTTTCGCCAAGTCCGACAGTCTGTCCGTTTGTCCGCGGCTTAGTGCAGAGACTATTGGTATTCTAAAGAGCTGTAATTTGGCATGGTTAAACATGAATACCAGAAATAAAAAGGCTCTAAGTACCAAAAACAAAAGTGGAGGAACTTGCTTCAAATAGTAAGCCATCAACACAAAATTAAATTCAGTTTTAAAATCGACATTTATATTATCACAATTAAATGCTTTTGTGACACAAAAATAAGTATCTTAACTTATTAATTTCTTTTGTTGAATTTATTTAATCTAAGGACAAAAATTGTTCATCCACGCTTTTATTATAATAATAGGTAATCTTCTTTAGTTGAGTGTATGATGATAAATTTTAATGCTTTTTCAATGAATAATAATGAAAAATTATCGATATCGAACCGCACATCACAGTCACGTCACACATCAATATGACACCATTTTCAATTAAACACTACACTTTTATAGTTTATATGCTGACTAATCTCGTAAGGAGTGCAATGCTTGCGTGTTCAATTTTAAACCAAATGTGTTACATATGACGGTTGACTTAAAAAAAACTAATCTCGTGGGCAGTGCGCTCATCAGATTTTGATTATCACTACAATTTTTATGAAATATTATGTACTCGATTACCTTTATGGTCAAGTTCTCGATTATTATTTATGATATTATTTTAAATGATTATAATAGAAAGAAAGTATATATCACAATAAAAATACTTACATATGGAATGTATTTCCATCTTATTGTAAATTTGAAGTACTAGACTTCTTTTGCACACATTAACCGCACAGATCATCATTTTTCAAAGGCACTACAACGACGGAAACGATTCTTGTAATGACAAAATCAAAGTAAACAGTATTTTTTATAAACGCACAAGATTTTTAAATCCAATACCTGCCCAGAGGGGAATAATCATGTTGAGGCGAGTCCATTGGGTTGAATGGTCTAAGAAAATATATTAAAATATCCACGACTCAATCAACTTCTTCTCGAATTTTATTAGAATCTTTCTGCTGTTTAAATGATATCAAAAAACATCAAAACTAACATACTTTCACATCTATCATAATATTTTTTTTATTGAATAAGTCTGACAAACGAACACACAGTTCCCTCATGGTAAATGAGTGCTGTGGACCCACCATAGACCCACCTACATGTATTCTGAATCAAAATGCAGATATGTTGTCACCCCTGAGGACTAAGATATAACCTCTCGTTTCCAGTGAAAAGGGTATCTGGTACTCACCATAGGAAACCCAGCAGCATTAAGCTGCTATTTTACACTGGTAGTCTGTGAGAGCGTGACCCCGGTCAAGCTGACCTATTCATGCTACAAGCATGATGTAGATGCAGCGTTGCTCCTCCACCATATATAATACGTATTAGTAAAATTGTATATTGTATTTCAGTGCGAGATGGGCGTCGCCCTCGAATGCGGGAGGCAGTAGTTCCCAGCCAACGAGTTTAGAGGCAGACTTCTTAAATCACTCCCCTTACCCAAGACGAAGGTATGGATGCATTGATACCACTGATGTTAAAACATGTTTTATCGGGTTTTCATGTTATCAGTTGTCAGATCTTCAAACTATATGGGGCCGCTTTATTGCCATTTACTTATTGTAGATGTATATTGCCATAATAATATATATGTGATGTAAATGATGAAAAATTGTGGAAGAAATAATTTGATGAATGATTTTAAATTACTTAAAAAAAATCTAATATCCTTAGTAATCAAAAAAAGTTTATAGTATTATTTTCTATATTTTTGCAGTTATTAAATTACGACGAAGTAAATAATGCTATATAGCTAAGTTAGTCAATCGGTTTAATGTTAATAATTTGCATTTAAATGGTACTAAAACTAAATGTATGAAATTCGTAACTCCTAATGTCAAACATGTTAATGCGAATGTAATTTTAAATGGGGAAGAACTGAGTCTTGTTGATACCACCATTTTTCTTGGAATCACACTGGACGCAAAGCTTCAATGGCTCCCTCATATATCAAAACTAGCTAGCAGACTTAGTTCTGCGGCATATGCTGTAAAAAGATTAGAACTCTTACCAGTGTTAAAACAGCTAGAATAGTTTACTTTAGTTATTTCCATAGCATCATGTCGTATGGTATTTTGCTATGGGGACACGCGACTGACACTGAAATTATATTTATTTTACAGAAGAGAGCCATTAGAGCAATATATAATTTAAAACCAAAAGAGTCACTGAGACAAAAATTTAAGGAAATTAATATATTAACTCTGGCCTCTCAATACATCTATGAAAATGTAATGTTCGTACACAAGAATTATGTTTATTCTTGTGTACGACGTTCGACGTTCTTGTGTACGTTTTAAGTTTTGCAAAAATAAGTGATATTAATTCTGTAAATACTAGGAGCAGACACTAGTAGTACCAGTTACTCAACTCCACCGAGTCAGTAATTCATTCTTGGGGCGATGTATACGCTTTTACAACAAAATCACAGAAAATATACAAAATTTATCATACGCAAAGTTCAAAAATTTTATTAAACTAAGTTTGTATAAAAAGGGTTATTATAATATTAAGGAATTTATGGATGATAATAACCCCTGAGAAGGGTGATCGCTACCAAGCTATTTCTAATTTGTCTTGTGTTGTTAATTGTAAACATGATTGTAAGCTATTATTTGAAAAAAAAAAATAGTCCCGCTGGGTTTCTTGCTGGTTCTTCCCAGGACAGAGGTTTTTTTTGCGAACCAGCGGTAAATGAAAAAATTGACTTTCAATAAGTATTGTTTATAATCTATATTGAATAAGAAAGTTTCCGTTTCCGTTTCAAAATCGCCTCTTATAACGTCCATGGAACGAAATAGGGTGATGGATTTTTTTATGATGCTGTCACAGCCAATTAGCGTGATTAAACCTTTAGTTAGACTGCCTAGTCTTTTTACTAAACAGCGCCATTTAACTCAAAGACTAGCGACCGTCTCGTTGAAAATTTAATAGGGTTTAATAGGGTGGTAAGGAGGTTATTCCGATATACCGATACAGTCTATGCCTTCAAGAAAAAAGGCTTACTCCTTTTTAAAAGACCGGCAGTGCACATGCGATTCCCCTGGTGCTGCTGTTGTTCATGATCGGCCTTGCCATATATTACATAATTGTACTAGGCTTTAGGGTGGCCCAATGGCCACCCTCAGCCACACCATAACCTTCTGTCGCTGATATTACAAGATAGGTGTAATTTTGTATTAGACGCATGGGCTGAGCATTCAGACTACTTGAACTAGGCTATTAACTGAAAGACTAAATATGCTCGTTTGCTGCGACAGTGCCACCACCGACAAGTGTTATGCTAGTAAAGTTTTTTTGTGTGGACTTATTATTTTCTGTAAATTGTCATGGTGTACAATAAAGTGTTAATTAATTATTATTATTAAAATTGCTTAGATTATAATTTTAATAATGAATGTGCGACTTTTCAGAACGATAGAGGCGTGCGCGTCGCCGCCGCCCCCTCCGGTTCGGAGAGTTTCCGCCGAGAACCGCTGGAGGGCGTCACCTGCGGTTAGTATTCATTAAATAATACATAATACCTGTATATTTTCATTTTGTTTATAATTGCCGTTTGTAATACAATGTATATATATATATATATATATATATATATATAAAAAAATATATATATATAATCATCATTTATGTTACAGAGTTCTGGCAATACTAGTCCTATAGTGCTGCAAAGGTTCTATCATCAGAGCCAACAAAGGAGGTCCAGAGTCGATCTTCACTCCACACCGAGACATAGAAGGTCGTACATATGTTACATATAAATCTATTATCCTATGCATCATTTCTTTAGCCGTTTACCGTTAGGCCGTTTTCCGACTTGTCGGTGCGGGAGCGGTACGGATTCGTTTCGCTCGGTATACGTGGTACCGAAAGCTTGCCGAGCGCACGTATTTTAATGTGCGTCTTCTAATTAGCGCGGTATGTGCGAGAGCGGGGAGGAATCCTTTCGTTTTATCGCGTCTCGGGATACGTGTCCAGCGGCCGCTCGACATTTACCGCGCACGGTCGTGCAAACAAGATGGCGGAGCGATATATTCACGTCGTTTTAGTACTAATTAAAAATTGAACATTCTCTAAACATTGTATTTTGCTTTGTTAATACTCTGTACCATACAAATTCAAAAGCACTTCGTAACTTTTTTTCTATACATCAATAACAATATTTCCCCATCTTGAGAAAGTTCTTGGGCCGCAACAAAAAGTCGACAATTAATATTATTTTCAATATACGGATGACGCTAGTAACGTTATCCTTTTTTACGTAGGCGACAAAAATTACAGCACGTCAAAATATCGTCATCACTCGAAGACGACACCTTCGGTACGGTATGCAGTACCGTTTTTTATATACCGGATTTTATACCGAAAATTATTAGCTGAAGGCAACACGGTATCGTTTCGATGCAGGCCTTAAAGATCCCGCACCGACAAGTCTAAAAAACGGCCTTACTGTTACAGCCTGTTAAAAGTACACTGTTGAACATCGGCCCCCCATAGGTTGCTCTAGTACTGCGCCTTCAATTCTCACGCGATCTAAATGGGGATGGAAACTTCTCGGAATTAATTAAAAATGACAGTTCTAGAAGAAAGTAGGGTTGAAGTAGTTCCAAATATTTTTCATTTATTTAGATGTTCGTATCTCTAGATTCCAATTTAACTTAATTTTGGTTTGAAATATGTAACAACTACCAGAATTATTGCGCGTGATCGACGTCGAAATTTTATCCTTCTTTCGACTCACGATTAATTTCTACATAATAACATAAATATCAAAAAATAATGAAGAAAATAATTATACTAAACATTCCGTAACTCATGTTTATGGCCGTATGAGGACGCTCAAGGTCGCTCAGCGAGCTATGGAGAGGGCTATGCTCGGAGTTTCTCTGCGTGATAAACTCAGAAATGAGGATATCCGCAGTAAAACCAGAGTGACCGACATAGCCCAACGGATTAGTAAGTTGAAGTGGCAATGGGCCGGCCATATAGCTCGAAGAACCAATAACCGATGGGGAAGAAAGGTTCTCGAGTGGCAGCCTCGTACCGGTAGGCGTAGTGTAGGGCGACCCCCACTAGATGGAGTGATGACCTGGTAAGATATGTAGGAAGCCGATGGATGCAGGTGGCTCAGGACCGTGCTTTGTGGCATTACTTGGGGGAGGCCTATGTTCAGCAGTGGACTTGTGAAGGGCTGTAATGATGATGATGATGATGATCATGAAACATGAGTTTAAAGCAAAAATCTACAAATAACACGTCATCTGTTTAACAAATTTATACATCTGCACGGCCAGCACGTCGAAAACTCGCATCCCATGTTGATCGCTCGCGGATTATAGTCCCGTATTTATATGTGAACTCTTAAAAATATTTAGTATTCATTCAGATGATGTTGCATTACAGTTTGAGCAGAGAACACAGCACAGGAAGATCTCCGGAGCCACCACCGAGAACGAGTCGGCACCACAATATGTTAGGACATGATGGTGAGTATGTTATTAGCAATATATACATCTAAGCTCTTTATTTGATAAAGGACTCGTACGGTTGTATTTTTGCCAGTGTAAACCACTCAAGCGTCCAAGCCGCGCGAGCGTTCTCTCTTCCCGCCTGTCCGCGTATTTCTTTATTACGACCGCGCAGGACTGAAAAAAACTATTTCTACATTCAAATAAAAAATGTTCACGAAAAGCTTAAAAAAAAGCAGAATTTCATTTTGTTAAAACAAAAATGCTCAAATTAAAAATAAAGGATGAAAATAAAGCTTAAATTTGGGAATATAAAAAAATTATCGCATTTATTTTTTATTGAGTTTTACAAGAAAAATATAATAGTTACTGGAGCACACACACACACATATATATATATATATATATATATATATATATATATATATATATATATATATATATATATATATATATATATATAAGTAAAGTTACAGCCTATATACGTCCCACTGCTGGGCACAGACCTCCCCTCATTTCTGAGAGGGTTTTAGGGCAAGGAAGTGTCCGCCGCGCTGCCCCAATGCGTGTTGGCAAACTTCACATGTTTCGAAATATTTTTTTCCTTATTCCTCAGACATTCAGGTTTCCTCACGATGTTTTCCTTCACCGGCGAGCACGTGGTAAATCAGCACTTAAAATTGCAATTAACAATTTCATTGGTGCCGGCGGGGATCGAACCCAGGTTACTCGCGTTCTGTTATATTTGCAGCGAGCATTAACCATCTGAGCTACCACGGTTATATATATATATATATATATATATATATATATATATATATATATATATATATATATAATATAATTTAATTTAATCGTGAAGCATTCTTTTATATTCAGCATTTATTTGACAATAACAACCGATACAACACGAATACATTTTCAACAACATATAATAAAAAACGGTGATCGTGTATAGTGATTAAAATTTCGAGCTAAAATATTATATGTAAACATTTTAGAACTGTCGTAATGATATATAATGGAGAAGATAACAAGGTTACAATATTAGACTTTTAAGTATGTAGGTAAAAAGTCTAGACCAAACACATAATTCTAGTTTTTTTGCACATCGATCGGTGCACTATTACCGAAGTTATAAGCGTGGAAAATTTACGTACATTTTTAAAATCTCGCCCGTGCTGGCGAGTAGCGCGTGACGTCATCGATTCCATGCGGCCGCGCCGCCATACCGTTCCAGCGCGCCGATCATACATTTGTACAATATAAATTATACAAACAATAAAATAACAATATAAATTATAGTAATATTTCGCGGGTGAGTTGTTTGCCCTCGTGCGCTCTGGTGTTTTTAAGTATTTAATGATGGAAGAAGGGTTTCAAAAGGGACAATCTGACAACCTTCCAATAGTCCGTGACATGATGGTGGCGGAATATTTTCTAAGAAACAAATCCGGCGAAAGCATAAGAATAAGATAATATTTTTATAACTAGGTAATTATTACATTAATACTTCTGGGTTTCATTTGCTAATGATGAGAATAGGTATAACAAAAATACGTAAACATTCCTTACCTACCTACTTACTATCTGGCTCTAACTAGTTTTGTTTTCTTATTCTTCTTAAGTGCACCCTAACCTTTTTGTGGTTTTTATGGTTAAAAAAATTTCCTGTTGTTTATAAAGTACTACAAATATACCTTCGGTGTATAAAAAATAAAAATATGATTTTATCTAAAAATCAGATGTTTTCAATATTAATAGAAAAAGGGTCGCATTATTATTATTATTAAAAGCGTAGTTATATTTTCTTTAGGCAAGGGATCAATGTCAATATTTTCTGTCTAGAGTAGTAACAGGATCGACAACGTATACCTATATGCTCAATTTCTTGTGATTGTGATTATGATTAAAAGCGTAGTTATATTTTCTTTAGGCAAGGGATCAATGTCAATATTTTCTGTCTAGAGTAGTAACAGGATCGACAACGTATACCTATATGCTCAATTTCTTGTGATTGTGATTATGATTAAAAGCGTAGTTATATTTTCTTTAGGCAAGGGATCAATGTCAATATTTTCTGTCTAGAGTAGTAACAGGATCGACAACGTATACCTATATGCTCAATTTCTTGTGATTGTGATTATGATTAAAAGCGTAGTTATATTTTCTTTAGGCAAGGGATCAATGTCAATATTTTCTGTCTAGAGTAGTAACAGGATCGACAACGTATACCTATATGCTCAATTTCTTGTGATTGTGATTATGATTAAAAGCGTAGTTATATTTTCTTTAGGCAAGGGATCAATGTCAATATTTTCTGTCTAGAGTAGTAACAGGATCGACAACATATACCTATATGCTCAATTTCTTGTGAAGTAATGCCAATCGCATGTGCAACTGCTTCTGACCTAGATTTGGCATTTAGTTTTGATAGTAAACATCTTTGTGATTTTTCTGTATACCGATTTTGACAAGCAAACTTGTGAGGCAAAACATCTTTTTTAAATTTGAACGGACCTACGAACTAGTTTTGTACTTCACGTAGTTTTCCATATCGTTTTCGACCTAGAACGAAATCATCATCATCATTACAGCCCTTCACAAGTCCACTGCTGAACGTAGGCCTCCCCCAAGCAATGCCACAAAGCACGGTCCTGCACCACCTGCATCCATCGACTTCCTGCATGTCTTACCAGGTCGTCACTCCATCTATTGGGGGGTCGCCCTACACTACGCCTACCGGTACGAGGCTGCCACTCGAGAACCTTTCTTCCCCATCGGTTATCGGTTCTTCGAGCTATATGGCCGGCCCATTGCCACTTCAGCTTACTAATCCGTTGGGCTATGTCGGTCACTCTGGTTTCACTGCGGATATCCTCATTTCTGAGTCTATCACGCAGAGAAACTCCGAGCATAGCCCTCTCCATAGCTCGCTGAGCGACCTTGAGCGTCCTCATACGGCCAGCAGTGAAGGACCACGTCTCAGATCCGTAAGTCATCACTGGCAACACGCACTGGTTGTACACTTTAGTTTTTAGAGATTGAGGTATACCTGACGAGAAGATGTGTCGTAATTTCCAGAACGCTGCCCAGCCGAGTTGAATCCGTCGATTGACCTCTCGGTCGAAGTTGGGCTTACCTAGTCGGACTATTTGTCCCAGGTAAACATACTCGTCAACAACTTCGAGCATAGTGCTTCCAACAACTACCGGCATAGGTGTGACATGGACATTGAACATGATCTTTGTTTTGTCCATGTTCATCTTAAGACCTATCCGTTGGGCGACACTATTGAGGTCATTGAGCATAGTGCTAAGGTCCTCCAGCGATTCTGCCATAAGGACTATATCGTCGGCAAATCGAAGGTGAGTGATGTACTCGCCATTGATGTTTATACCGTATCCTTTCCAGTCCAGTAGCTTGAAAACGTCTTCCAACGCAGCGGTGAAGAGTTTCGGGGATATAACGTCACCCTGTCTTACACCTCTCTGCAGTTGGATAGGTTTCGAACTCTGGTTCTGTACTCTGATGGCCATCGTAGCCCTACTGTACAAACACTTCAGCACTTCGATATACCGACAGTCAACTTGGCACCGCTGAAGGGACTGTAGCACCGCCCAAATTTCGACGGAATCAAAGGCTTTCTCATAGTCCACATACGCCAGGCAAAGTGGCAGATTGTACTCTAGAACAAAATACAAACAATTATTTAAAGTCTATTAAAAAAATAAGGGACCTCGTAATTTGTATACCATCAATATTTAAAATATGTACCAACTATGTAATACATAAAAATAGGACAACACGAAAAAAAATTTAAGTGCTCCACTTCATAATCAAACTTCTTCCATTATTTGCGGCCCGCAAAGTATGCAGATTTAACAGCTCTGCGATGTATTTAGTTTTTGCTCGAAATATCGTAAAAATATAAAAACGTTTGTTAACATATTCCATATTTTAACCTTTATATGCATTATAAACATTTTAAAATTTGTTGCAAACATAGATAGGTATCTAAACTTACAAACTCACGACAGGTCATTGACTTATCTACATTACATAGGTAAATACTTTACCCAAGTTTGGATGTTTATTTACACTGAAGTAGTTTTAGTTAAATATGTAGGTATTAGGTATTGTTTCTTCTGGAAATTGTAATGATCATTAAGCGTGGAAAGGTTCAATGATTCAATAAATCGTTAGTTACTTAAACACTGCAACTCGAGTAGGTACATGCCTAATAGAAAGCATTTACTAGCAATAACCAAGAGCTATCATGTGAAGGTTATTATTATTTGAATACTTACATCCAAATTTTCTCACAAAAATATGCTACCGTGTTTGGTCCTAAAGGATGTGCATTTTTTTTCTAATGTTTCTAGGCACATTAAAAAACGACTTTTCAGGTGTTTTTGTGGCCGTATTTTTACATTGAGGCACAGCACAATATTTAATGGATGGTGTCATGTTCTATAATGTTTCTTGTTAAAAATAGATAGCAAGTAGATCCGCGCGCGAGCCAGTAAAGATTTCAAGTGCGTCAGGTCGCTCGCACGAAGATGGAAATCGTGACGTCATCAACGATGTCGCGCTCGGCCCGCGGCTTAGACCGAAAATGTTAACTTTGCACCTCTATATCTCGGTCAGTTTTAAATATAGAAAAAAAAATTAAAAATACAGTTATTCTCGTAATTTTTTGTTTTTGGCATATAAAATAAAAATTATCTTCTCCATTCCTAAAGGGAATATCTTCACAATTAATTTGATGTAGAATAACATTAGAAATAACGTATAAAAAAAACTAATCACATTTTTGATCAAGCTCCACACACTTTAACAAACAATAATGGCTAACTATTATTTTCACTTTTTTTCTAAATATTTTGTTCCCATTGCAAAGATAAAATTCACTCTCATGGATGACAAATTTCAAATAATACCATCTCTTATTTTTCTACTGTATTACCAACTGTTTTTAGCGCTTTACATGATTAAACCGAACAATGTCGTTCGGTGACTAGTCCCATGGACAGTTAACGCAAGAATTTTTTGGGGACTACAGTCACGGTGGTAAATCAGCACTTAAAATTGCAATTAACAATTTCGTTGGTGCCGGCGGGGATCAAACCTGGTTTGTTCGCGTATTATGAAATTTACAGCGAGCGCTATTTACCACGTGCTAGGCGGTGAAGGAAAACATGGTGAGAAAACCTGCATGTCTGAGAAATAAGAAAAAATATATGTCGAAGACATGTGAAGTTCGCCAACACGCATTGGGGCAGCGTGGCCGTGGGTTAGACACTTCCTAAAAAAGGGTTTTAGGGAAAGGAAGTGTCCGCCACGCTGCCCCAATGCGTGTTGGCGAACTTCACATGTCTTCGACATACACAGACACTTCTGGGCACAGGCCTCCTCTCATTTCTGACCCTCTCAGAAATGAGAGGAGGCCTGTGCCCAGAAGTGGCACGTATATAGGCTGTAACTTTAACTTCAACGGTCACCTTGGATGCTTGAGTGGTTAAGTGATAAGAACAAAGCAGCGGCAATGAAGTTCGGGCTAAACACCCTACTATTATGTTAAAATATTAAAGTTAATATAGATAGATTTTATTTAGATGTACAGACGGTGGTCTAAAATTCATTTTATACATTTAAAAATAACGTAGATATTAGTGTGTGCTGTTGTTAGTTTAGGGTAGTTCAACCCCTTCTGTCACTAAAGAAAATGTTGATAGCAATTTTAAGTACCAACGTGTAGTATTTTTATCTCATAATGGCAGTATTGTCCTATTTGTGCTGTAGGTGCACATGCACGTTGTTTTAGTGTGCGTAAGTTCTAGAATAATAAATTGACAAGTACCGTCAACACGGAAAGTAAAATGAAAAGTCGTTTGCAGTGATGCAAAAAAAATAATTAATATGTTCTTTGCTTAGCAGTGTAGTTAGTTTCGCCCACTTTGTGAGATAGAGTATGTATACCTCGTGCTCGGAGGTGTAGGAGAATATTTCAAAGACATGTGAAGTCTTTATACACAAACTATAGACTTCATAGACAGTAGTAAAGGGAATTGTATTGAAATTCATTCATTTCAATAATTACAGCCTCAAAGCAAAGTCCACTGCTAAGCATAGGACTCCCATAGATTGCTTCGTAAAAGAGATGCTGATGCTCATCTCAAGGTTTGTTTTCCTCTGTCGTCTCTAAAGACACCCACGGGACGATATGGGGTAGTGGATATCCTTGCAACACCACTATATATTTTTAAATATAAATAAATTAATTGTGACCAATTTATTTCAGTGAACGGCAGCTCGGAACTAGAACCGCCACCGATACACGAACGGTTACATCCTCCCTCGCCTTTATTGCTTAATGACAGGTAAGTTTAACTATGCATTATTTAATATAATATATGTGCATATATACACATATTTATTTATTTATTTACATACATAACATATACATAAACACTCACGCCTGTCACCCAGAGGGGTAGGCAGAGACTACAGACTTCCATTTGGCACGATCCTGACACACCTCTCTCGCCTCCTTCACATCCATACATCTACGCATGCATGCTCGTCGGTTAAGGGTACTCCTAATTTGGCCCGTTTTCAATAAATCGCCAATTTTTTACATTCAACTTATATCTAACATTACAGGTTTCTACCCAATGCGATAGATAAAGCACTATTTACAATCCTATATTACTTATATTACTATATTAACTTATAGCTAATTATCCATTACGCAAGTTTTGTGAATTCGTTCAGAGTACAAAAGAATAAATCTATTTCTCTTCGGAACGCTCGCGTCAGGGGTGCCTCTCGCAGTAAGTTAGTGCGACATCCAGGGACGGCCAGTAGGTCTGGCTGACGCCGCCGCCATATATACCTAGCCGGAACACAAATATTAATATTCTTCAACATATCCTCGTTAATAATCCTACCTCTAAGGACCATAAAAATATATGAAACTAGTCTAAGTTCTCTCCTTACCCTGAGCTGATTGTATCCTATCATACCCAGAACAAATAATGTAGGATATTGCAGTGGGTAAAATACCCATTTTACCCTATATACCCCATATACTTAAGATACAAATACCTTACAAATTTGTTTTGTAATTTCTCCAGCATTAGATCGTACTTCTTCTCATGAGGAGCCCAAATTATTGAATTACACTCCAAATGACTCTGAACTAGTGTGTTGTACAAAGCTATAATAGCTTGCACATTTGTGAAACCGTAAACTGTACGTAACTAAAAACCTAGAGTTCTAAAAGCCTTTTTACATGTTTCAACAAATATATATATATATATATATATATATATATATATATATATATACCTTTGATGATGGGACCAAATGAAATACGATTCCGATGAAAAAAAAAATCATTTTTTAAAACGTTTAATTAGCTTTATTCACGCTCTGTCATGTTAGTGCAGCTAAATGAAACGATAATTTCATTAAAAAAATCATGAAAATACTTAAACGTAAAACCAGCAGTGAAATTTCAAATACCTAACATCAGCTGATATGGGGTCAATATACGTGCGACCCGCAGCCCTCCGCTACCACAGCGAGGCGACACGAGTCGGCCGAGCGGCGTCGAATTACAAAAAAAAAGGGAAAAAGCATCGTAGTACAGTAATACCTAATGCATTCTTTCGTACGGAGCTAGATAAAAGAGTTCAGCGTTCGCGTTTATTGACTCTATAATCAGCTGGTACCATTTTAATTTTCACTGCTGTTTTTTTTTTCTGTATTTTCATGAATTTTTTAATGATTATTAATTGATAGATTTAATAATATTATATAATTATTAATTGATAGATTTAATAATTGTGGATGAAAGATTGAGGGGCGCAGTTGTAGATACAAGGGTTTACCGGGGTTCTAACGTAGGAACGGATCATTATTTGGTTCTATGCCGAATTAATGGTCTATTCAGGCGTTGGCGCCATCGGTCATCTGTGTCTACCACTGCGTTACAGCGTATTAGAACAGAAAGGTTACAAGATGAAGGTGAGAAAAAGAAGTTCAAATGTAGACTGAAAGAAAATATAAGTGGTTTGGATGAATTATGTATGAAGGAGTTAGACTTGGAGAATGTATGGCAAAATGTAAAGAAAGGTTTAGTGGATGCAGCTACCGAAGTATGTGGTGTTAGTAAGAGAAAGAATGAAAGGAAAAATAATACGTTATGGTGGGATGATGAGGTACGTATGGAAGTTGAAGCAAAGAAGAGAGCATGGCTAGATTTACTAGCAACAAAGGCTGGTAATTCTAGCGGTACGAATGATGATATTGAAAGAAAAAAGGCAGTCTTTAGACATCTTAATAAGAGAGTAAAAGAAGTAGTTGAAAGAAAAAAGCAAGAAAGAACGGATAAGAATGATAGAAGAATATCGGATAATTTCCAGGCAAATATTAAAATGTTCTGGAAACTTGTAAGAACTGCCAGGGGACATTCAAAACAGCCTATGATGAATGCTATAAGAGACGAGAATGGCTATATTCTGAATGATGAAGTTTTGAGTTTAAAGAGATGGAAGGAATATTTTGAAAGCGTGTTTATGAGTGAGGAGACAACGTGTGTACTAAGTGAAGTAGAAATTCCGAAGGAAGAGGAAAGAGGTAGCGAGATTAGTGTAGGTGAAATAATGAAAGCAATGAAAAGCATGAAAGCAGGTAAGGCTGCCGGATATGATAGAGTTTCACTCGAAATGCTAAGGGCTGGAGAGGAAGTGGTGGCAGGCCTGCTGCACACCTTGTTTAATTTATGCTGGGAACTGAAGCGGGTACCGGTAGACTGGTGCAAAGCCGTGATAGTCCCAGTATATAAGGGAAAAGGGTCGCAGCAGGACTGTAAAAACTACCGTGGCATCAGCCTTCTTAGCATTGTGGGAAAACTGTATGCTAAGGTACTGATTGAAAGGGTCATGAAAGAAACTGATGGAAAAATTTGGGATGTGCAAGCAGGATTTAGAAAGGGAATGGGATGTACAGATCAAGTCTTTTCCATGCGCATGATCGCGGAGAAGTTTTTGGCCAAAAACCAAAAGGTTTTTTGTGCGTTCATGGACTTGGAAAAGGCCTATGACAGAGTGAATAGGGATGTGCTATGGCAAACACTGAACTCATTTGGGTTGAGCGCTGGCTTGATACGGGCATTGGAGTCCCTTTATAGGGACTCTAGTGCTTGTGTTAGGATCAACGGGGTCTACTCGGACTGGTTTGACATCCATAAAGGTGTCAGACAGGGCTGTGTAGCTTCCCGTGGCTGTTCAACCTATTTATGGACAGTTGTTTGCAAAATTTGAAAGTTGAAGAATGCGGATTAAGAATGGGTGAGTTAACCGTCAAATGCCTTTTGTACGCCGATGATCAAGTTATACTTGCGTCGTCGGCGGCCGAGTTGCAAATGATGGTTACATTAATGAACAGATCATTAAAAGAAAGGGGTATGAAAGTGAACGCAAGTAAGACGAAGGTTATGGTTTTTGAAAGAGAAGAAAGTAAAACGATTTGTGAAATAAGAATAGAAGGGGAGTTGATCGAGCAAGTAGACGAGTTTGTATATTTGGGCTGCGTATTTAGCAGGGATGGGAGATATGATAAGGATATAGAACGACGAGTGAATGCGGGAAATAGAGTAAATGGGGCCCTGCACTCTATTGTGAAGAGTCAAAATGTGTCGAAAAAGGCACGTATGGCAATTCACAATGCTGTGTTGGTCCCTACTTTAACATATGGTAGTGAAAGTTGGGTGTGGCAGAAGAAGCACGAGAGTAGAATGAACGCAGTAGAAATGCGGTCGTTAAGGAGTATGTTAGGGCTGAATCTTAATGACAGGGTAAGAAATTGTGTAATAAGAGAAGAGTGTGGTTTGCAAGATGATGTTGTGACCAGGATTAAGAAAGGAATGCTTCGGTGGTTTGGTCATGTGGAAAGAATGAATGAGGAAAGAGTGACAAAGAAAATTTATGTTGCAGAAGTGAATGGCAGAGTCGGAAAGGGACGTCCTAGGCGAAAATTTATCGACCAAATTGGCGATTTATTGAAAACGGGCCAAATTAGGAGTACCCTTAACCGACGAGCATGTATGCGGAGGTGTATGGATGTGAAGGAGGCGAGAGAGGTGTGTCAGGATCGTGCCAAATGGAAGTCTGTAGTCTCTGCCTACCCCTCTGGGTGACAGGCGTGAGTGTTTATGTTATGTTATGTTATGTTTTTAATGAAATTATTGTTTAATTTAGCTGTACTAACACAATGGAACGTGAATAAAGCTTTGAATAAAACTAAATTTACGGATTTATATAGTTCGTAAATGTGTAGTGTTCGCGTAAATTTAAGAAATCATTATGTGAATAAAGCTAATAAAACTTTATGAAAAGATGATTTTTTTTTTCACTGGGATCCATTTTCTTTTGGTCCCAAGTCCAAAGGTATCGTTGGTATTATCGTTTGTCTTCGTTTTCGGGAGCGTTTCAAAAATACCCTTTATATACAATATGTAACGTAATTAACGGACACTCTCATATACGCCAATTAGTATATTATGTTATAATCATAATACAGACACTGAATTTTTAGTTAAATATTTTTATGCACTGATTATTTATCAAATTAGTTATACTAATTCTTTATATCTATTAGAAGAATGTTGTGGTCACAGTACAAATCCACGAACGCAAAGACTTTAACGTGCTTGAAATAAAGTTCATTTTTCTTTATTTTTATTGAATGACGGAATTAGTAATAATACAAATAAAACTGCACTCTTAAAAATCTTATTGCCTTAAGTTGCCATTTCAGTTTTTTTTTGACTGTACAGATTTAGTGTGAATTTACATAGTTTTAATTATTTTTGGAATAAAAAATTACCTATATTAAAAATGATAGGAATCGATTCAGTAAACGATTCTGAACTACTTTCTCAAAGTGCGTTAATTATGTTACATTTTGTAAATATGTCTGCCTCGTTGGTCTAGTGGTCTTAAAGGCGATTGCTGATAATAAGTTCGCGAGTTCGAATCCCGCGTTAGGCTAAAATCATTTATTGGGTTTTTCTGTAAAACAATTCTCAATTGCAGCCCAGATTTAAGAAATTGTCTGTGTTTCATCTTCCGTACCCCGGCGAGCATGTACAGCCAGGTTTGGAGTTAGTCCTGCGCCTGATCTCTCTTTGGTCGTGTCGACTTACCGTTATACGCTTGACAGGCGGGTTAGCAACAGTAGCTATTTGTAATTTTGAATTGTTTTCAAGAAGATGTCAACGTTTCAGTATTTGTCAAGCAGTATATAAAATATTCTATTTACAAAAACGTTTGAGAAAACTAAGGATTCTTTAGAGTTTGTTCGGAGCCATCTCTCTCATCACGTAAGGCATTGGTTAACCAATGGCTGTGGCCGAATAGCCGGAGTGATCGGTTTCCCGTTACAACTGAGTCAGAGCCCGTTTTGTCACCACTAATTATTAAAGTCGTCTATTTAAATTTAAACATTTTTTTTCGTGCTAAATAAATCATTTTTTACTATACATTGCGCTCTTCCTCCCTCCCCTTCCTTATCCTTTTACGTATGTATTCTATAACAGACAACAGTTATGTTTAGAAAGAAAGAAAGAAAATATTTATTTCTCCACATAAGCACTAAGCCATATTGTAACATATAATATTCATATTTTGAACGTTATTATTAATAATAAAGTATAAGACGTTGCCGAACGTGACGAAAAGGCGTTGCACTCAGCATTTGGCGTGGCGAACCACAGCCGCTGTTTTTCAGTGTGGCCCGTTTCGCCTCTTTCGAGCAGTTTGAGCAGTGGTGGTTTACACATTTGTGTTTCGTAGTGAGACAACTGGCAAGTACTGTGTGTTTTAACTTGCTTGTGATTATATTACCAGACTGTCAGAAGGCCGTAGTCAGAGTCTCACTCGAGCGGAGCTTCGAAACGGCTTCCGTACGGAAATCCCCGCACCGCACAAGCACCATGATGACCAGGGTGAGTCACTCTACACACACCAACATACTGGCATAATGCTATACCAACTACGTCACTATCAACAGTGTTTTTAACAATGTATCAACGCTATTGTAGTCTGTTAAAATCCAGTTTTCTATGAAAACAAATAATATTTGTCCTTTATTTAGAAATATTTTACTCAAAATATTTGAATGTAAGATGTTTATAGTAACAAATTTTATGAAGTTATTTTTTTATTTAAAATTATATTTCTAATTTGAAATTTATTAAATTTGAAAATTTAAATATAAAATATATATAAATTTGAAATTTTAGTATAACTTTGGTTAACTAAATCAGACTTAAACGAATTATTATGCAATCCACCCATGAACTTTAAATAATAATGCTGAAGACTTTCTTTACTGGGAACGAGGCATTCCATCTTATAGTCAACCAAATCTAAGAAATACATTTTGACAGCTGTCAGACTTATTGCACCAAGCATGCCAACCAAAAAATGGGAACATATCATATTCGATTCTTAAAAAAATCGATATCGATTATTTAGAGTTGGTAATCATTTACAGTTTGTTTAAATAATATCAGAATAAATTTAAAACGGATAATTTAAAACACAATATTTATCAGTTTCTTCGTATTTGTTGTAATAGCTTATTTCTAGAGGCACAGTTATAAAAATTTAAAATGGAAACTAGATTAAAAATATATTTATTCAATCACTTTCAGTACAACTAGTTGAGCTGTCGTTGTTTAAATTAATTATTATTTGATTTTCAATAATGCAGTCAAAATTAATGTCTTTCAAAGTCATCCATCATCATTTTCAACTTCCCGCCAAGAAAATTAAAAATTTTCAAAAATCGGGAAGTTATTGTTTTTACCCCGTTTTTCGAAAATTGAGTTTTCTTCAAATCTTGACTTTTTGTGGTCACAGGAAGCCACCCTGACAATTTTTCGATGGTGCCTGTATGTATGTATGTATGTGTATGTGTGTGTGTTTGTGTGTGGATGTATATAAACCTCATAACTTTTGAACGACTTGCCCGATTCAAATGAACTAAGCGGATTTTCAGTGTTTCATTAAACTTAGATTTTCTACGAATTTTAACTTTTTTTTTAATATAGATTTTGAGAAATCTCAAAAATAAATATTTTGAATAACTGTTTTTTGGAATAACTTTTAAACGGCTTTACCAATCGATTCCAAAAACTAATCAACTTTTAACCTTGAAAAACCACGTCGATTGCCGCCGGTCCGGTCACAATCGTTTAATTTGCTCATAAGATATCTATCGTTCAAGGAAATTCTGAAAAAATTGTTTTTTTAAATTACTCCGATATTTCATATTCAACGTCATAATTTGGTGAAATTTGGAGCGCTTTGCATTTGAAATTAGCGGGTAGTTCCAGGGATGGCCTGCAGAGTCAACCATTTATTTGTTTATTCTGCCACTTGCCCAATCATCCTTTGTGACATGGGCACATGCTTCTACCAATATAGAAGAAACAGTCCAAAAAGTTAAAGCCAAGTCACAAAATAAGAAGACAAACACAAAATTACGCACAGTAAGCTCCCGAAGTGGTGGGTGATAGAAATTACGTAAAGTTTTTTTCAGCGCAGCCTTGTACATGAGTTGTTTTGCCTACACAAATTTAAGTTGACAAAGTAAAAAAAGAAACTTATTTTACTCATGATTTGTATAATTTAAGGTATTTTAAAAATAAAAATTTAATTAAACAATTAATACACAAAAAATAATCATTCGATTATTTGAATATTTTTATCGATAATTTGAATATTTTTGCCGATTATTCGCATAACAATGAATTTCAATCATCCAAGCACTACGGTAAAAGACGTCAAGTAAAAGAATTAATACTGATTATTTTTTTAATATTTTGCTGTGTTTGAAAGATTCGAATTTAAATTAGTGATAAAAAGCTATACAGGTTGTAATTAAATATAGATAACTTCATAATTCTTTGCATTTACGTAAAAGGTTATTTTTAAATCGTGTATGTACGCTTATGCAAAGTTATTGCGGAATGATTAATGTGAAACGTCAAAAGGTATTTCTTAGATTTGGCTGACTGTAGTCCTCAGCGGTGACAACACATCTGCATTTTGATTTATCTATGTGTCATTAGTAGTCATTAATAGTCATATATATATATAATCATATATCAATAAGAGTGACAAATGTGCACACAGTCTACTATAGACTGTGTGCACATTTGTCACCCTTATTCTATAAAATAATAACAATAATAATAAAATACCAAAACACTTTATTTTTGTAGCAAATTGGATCGCAACAGACTGATTTATAACATATCGTTAGATTATATGTCATACTTGCACATTATATTAATCAAATCATCACCTCGATCCCTAGTGGTCAGAGCATATGACTGACTGCTGATCATTCCAATGATATTATCATCACCGAAGTTTACATTTATGCTAAAATGTAATCATGACTTTTGTAAATGTAATGATGTTATGTTTGTCCTTGTGTCTTTTAAACTGCATCTGACTCCGTCAAATTTCAACACGTAACCATTACATGGAAATTTTCTTAATATGACTTATCTAATAATAAATTCTATTGATTGTACTCGGAAGCTGTTTTTGTTCAGAATATTTTTTTCACAATATCAACTGCATCACGGTATTATTAAGCACTTATGTAAACAACCCCACATCAACACCTCATAGAAACTTTGATAATGATAATGATACTGTATCATCACCTCAGTACCGCCAATACAGTTGGAGGGAAACCCAACCAAACCCAACTTGTGGCTGTCTGAAGATCTGCTCGCGTTTTGATATTCGTTATTTTAGCTTTTTTTTAATTGTTATGTTTTCTTTAAATGCGACTCTGCATTTCATATGCAAAGTTGCGCAAAAAGGACACAACCCACAAAAATCTTTTTTTGACATTATGAAGTTTGGATCCGTATTTAATAATAATGGCATATTTTGATTTATTTGTAATTAAGCTTTTCATAGACTTTAGTGGGAATTGTTGAAATGTAATAAAAATCTAGACCTTAAGGATTGTATTAGCATAATCATCTCTGACTCATTTTTGCCCTTTCACATAGGGAGTTGGTTGTATCCTTTTCGCATAATAACATCAAGTTTAGTAAGACGGGAGATTCCGTTCTATCCTACATGGTGTATATAATCACTATTATATTATTAACCTTCAACTATTTATTTAACGAAGTTTTAACCAACGTCAGAACAAATTAAAAATATTTTTGTGTATTTTTATTATATTATGTTGATTATTGTATATAAAACCGAGGGCAGCCAGCCTTTGAAATAAAAATGTTCTAAAACAATATATGCTGCGCTTGCCACTCTTTCCCTTGCCATTCAATGTTTGTTGGGAAATGATTGTATTATAAAGAACTACATGTTCTGTGCTAAAAATTGCTTTCATATAAAAGTTTTCCGCATTTTAATTTACTGCAAGGAATGGGACAAATTTTTACTGTTTAACAAAATTAAATTATTTATAAAAGTACGGGGTCTTTCTGTTTTAAGAATGGTGATTTAATTATAAACAGGATAATACAATCATTTTAGCTCACCTTCCATCAAATTTCTCATATTTATTTTACATATCCTCTCCCTTCATTTAATGTATTCGGGAACAGGAAAGTAAACTTAATGGGATAGCAAAATAACTTGTGCTTTGTGCTTCGCAGTTATTCTGCTTATGCTAATGGGGTTCCAAAAAAAATGTAGAAACAGTTAAAACGGGTTATTCAATCAATTACCATATCCACTTTTTTCTTTAGTTGACTATTTTAGTTGGATAGAAAGTTTATGTACTACAAAAACTTGAATACTGTTTTTGCGGTAAGCTAAAACTAACAGATGTACAAATTATAAGTATAGAATTAGGTTCTCATTGTTTCATTTGAGTTTGATTATGTCACTTCGAATGGATTTTACTTTACTAGCATTAAATCATAAAATATTTCGTGCACATTACGGTGTAATGGAAAAATTCTTGTTTAATTCCAGAACTAGTTTTTTTTTCTAATAATAATATCTTACAACATACAGAATAAACAAAAATAAATATTATTTTCAGTCTCATACAGCAACTTACATTGGTCTGGATATACGTATTTTGTAACCAAATAGGATTTAATGCTTTTTTTTTAATAAATTTTGGTTTAAATTTTTTAATTATTCTATTATACGTAATGAAAATTTATGAAAATTCTGATTTCATTCTGCATAAAAATTCACTGCGTACAATAACCCTGTTCAAGTTATTTTTTATTCATTTTCGTGTCTTATAATATGCTAATTTCATATTTATATGGCAATTTTTTTCATATTTCAAGCTTGTTAATTGTTGATAATAAGAGATTATGTAATTCATAACTGAAATCCAAAACAGTTGTAATGAAGTTATAAGCTAAAATCATGTTATATTTAATAAAATTATTAAACGAAATATAAATAAAAATATACAAAAATATATTGAGTTGTACAATATTTCTTGGATTAGATAAAAAAATGTTTATGATCTGTGGTAGTGACATAATCTAACTTAACTATAGAATGGGTGCGTTTGGCAGAAAAAAGCGCTAGCAAGAGCTTGTATGCAAAATGGCGATCGTAAGGGTAAGCGCTGTCGAATCGTAAGTAGCTATTTTCCTCTAGGACACGATGTTAGTTTTAACCGGGGAACCTAACCTAATTTAAATATATGTTTGTAAAGTATTCATATTAAAAACTTACCAATCATAAATTTTTAATAACATGTATATGTTTATTCATGTCATTATATTACTTAAAACTAATATTGCACAAAACAACTTATAAACTCTACTTCAAAACAAACAAATTAAATAAGCAAAATGGAGGATTGTGCCAGCACTACTGAAGTAGCAATCGTGTCCTGGCCGAAAACTATTTTAGCGCTTGTAAGCGCTTGCTAGCGCTTTTTTCTGCCAAACGCACCCAATGAAATATGTTTACTGTTCTTTGATTGAATCTATGTGTACTTTACAATTTGGTTGTGCATTGAGGGAAATAGTTGAAGCAGTAAAATCTGTGGATATTTTATTCTTTTACCATAGTAATAGAAGATATTTTCGTAATAACGTAAATTTTTCCCTCGATGTCACAACACGACCTGTGCTTTGCCGCTGTCTCCTCACGCGACCCACACATCGCCTGCCATCTGTTGCTCTATCACATGCCTCGCTACACTAAACACAACCTTAACACCTAGCTAATAACGGCTAAATACGCGCAAAACGATATTGTTGCTTTGGGTCGGTGTATATCAATGAATGGGTGAGAAGTTTGGACCGCTTGATGCCTAGGTACTTCAAGTTTTTATTTATCATTGCTCTGTTTTAAAGTAAGTGAGAAGATAGGAAGTTTTTATGTGGTAACCTAAATTATTTGTAATTTTTAAGATAAATCAACACCTCATTTCATCTCGTGGCTATTAGTTTGGTATTAAAAAAGACATAAACGTGATCATAAAACTGCGATTAGTAATGGAGAGAAACATGGGATAATATGAAAGACATCATAAAATGAATAATTAAGAATGTGTGGACACCACAGAAATAGTATTAATAAGACAATGGAAATGAATTAGCGTTCGATTACTTTCAAAACCGATGTCGCCACATCTTCACACATACACATTAAGCGACCGATGCCTGCAGCCGTATTATATCCATACGAAATACACAATGATATCGAATGTTTCACATTACATTGCTTGGCGAATTAGTCAACGTCGCGTGCGTCGCTTATTACGGTAAAACAAAAGCAGCAATGCTAATTGTAAATACGAAAAGTAATAAATGAAAATTTACAAATGTAAATATCATAGTTTAGTATTCATGTAGATGGTTGAAACAATGATAATCACTAAATAATCAACTTACTGATGAAATGTTATGCCTTTATTAGTTGAATTACACGTCCTTGATGAGTTTTTACAACTTGTTATGCTGCAGTTCACCATTATAATAACATAAATTCACGTAGGTACAACGTTACCCGCGCAACTAAATCACAAAATGGTGAATAATGTTCGTCAACACATTATAGCGGCGACATGGTCACGCGTCTATGCCACTTCTACTGTCTTATTGTTACGATTTCTGTGTTTGACACCATAAACCATACCAGAGCAGCGTGGTAGGTAATAGGGGCATCCCTAATTTTTGTCTGCCGCCAGGTCGACACCATTTAGGAATGATGTGAAATATTTGACAGATTTCGTAGCTGGGAGGGTTAATTTGTTAGAAAGGTAGAGATTGATGTTTCTTTTTGAATATTAATTATATTTTATATTAATTAGATAAGAAATGCATTAAATAAACCACGGATATTCGTTAAAGTAGAAAAAAATAAAGAAAAGAATGTTTTAATTAAAAAAAGTAGAGCCATGCTGCAGCTATCTTAGTAGTATAGTTGTACGAATGGTTCGGCTTGACCGGGTAAGGACCACGTTCTCACAGAATACCAGCGTCAAATAGTAGCTTGATGCTGCTGTGTTTCGTATGGTGAGTGAAGAGAACCGGAGACCCTTTTTACTGTAAATAAGGCATTCCATCTTAGTTCTCACAGGTGACAACGCATCTGCATTTTGATTCGTAATCGAGGATAGATGTAAATGTCTATGCGCTACAGTAATCACTTTCCATCAGGTGGACTGTGTGCTCGTTTGTTACGTTTATCCTATTTAAAAAAAAACACATTGTTTTGTGTATAAAAACATACACTAGAAGCTGAAAACTTTCATTTATAACACAACTTTTCAATGATGATTACACTGTGTGAAAATTTCCGTGTCAAATATGTTATCCTAAATCCGTACTAGCTAGATCTGGTGAGCTTAATATAATTAACCCTCATTTTGTCTCACTTCAAAATGCCATGTGCTTTTTGAAAACGGCTTCAGCGGTCTAAACTGATACGAATACAGCTAGCTTATCGTAGTAAGGTGTGCAGTGTGTCACCATCACACAATCATCGGTGTCCGTCATAGCTTCGCAGTTCACTTGCTGTAACAACCGGTCGGGCATATGGTGTGGCAAACCCGGGAGCTCGATGGATGAAGACGCGCTTTGTTAATTTAGGTAGCCTCAATTACAAAATATGGACCTAACTTAAAATAAACTTGTATTGCGGTTGAACCGATTTGTTTTCATTTAAAACTTATATAGTTGCTAGAAAAACGATATTTACCATTCATAATAATAAGAATAAAGATACTAATAAACTAAATACTGATAATTTCCAGTTAGTGTCTAAAATTTATCAATGATCGCTCGTTATTAACAATAATTAAAAATGAAAAAAAAAATGTCTGTGAACGTGAAAGAAATTGTCTACCAATTTTTATTAAAATTACGTTATATACAAATTAAGAACAGTTTAAGATTTCGATTTTCAAACAGACTATTGTATTGCTCATGATAATGGTACATCATGATAATAGTACATTAATATTGTTTCATAAGGCCGTTTTAAAAGAACAGAAAGATTCATTGGTCAGTTTTTGACTTGATACAGATTATAAAATATAGAATCTAACGCATTGAAATGATAACAAATGAGATGCGGGTGAACACGTCCGTCGAGCTCCTATAGAGTGGGCAGCGTGCGTTGCGTGTGCGTGTGTGCGTGCGGGGCGCGGGGTAACCGTGGTCATGGGCAGGCTGGCTGCACTCGCTGGCCGGGCTGCTGAAGCGCCGGCTGAGCGGCTACGTCAAGTGGCACCATCTTGCAGCGCGCCACCACCACCACCAGCATCCGCTGCACAGGTGAGTGACCACCGTCTGCGGCGACGCTCCCCCCACTACTAGGTACGTCGCCACTGCGCTCCTTCGCTGCTAATATACCAACTAGGTAAGGTATACAATGAACAAATTGTCTACGTGTATGTTTTTCTATATAGAATAGAGGTGAAAAAACGAGCACATAATTCATCCGATGGTAAGTAGACCCAAAGACATCTACATTTATCCTCGATTAAGAATGAAAATACAGACGCGTTGCGTAGCTATTTTAAACTAGCGAAGTTTAAAATAGCTGCTATTTCATATGGTGAGTGTAAAGAACCAGGGACCCTTTTTACTGGAAACGAAGCATTCCATCTTAGTCCTCAGCAATGAAAACGCGTCTGCATTTTCATTCTTAGTCGAGGATAAATGTAGATAGTCATTGGGTCCCAGTATCCAGTTACCATCGAATGGACTGTGTGCTCGTAATTCACCCTAATTCTATAAAATAATAATTAAGATAATAATTAAGATTTACGCTCACGGTGAAGGAAAACGTCGTGAGGAAACTAAATTGGTATCGAAAATATATCAAGACCATTTAAAGGTCCCTAGAACTAAGATTGAATTATTTTGGGCTTTTATAACCTCTAAGTTTTGCTGGTACTTTTATCCTTCTAACAAAAGTATAATTAAAGTATGTAGTACAGTTTAGCAGGAATTAGAGGGTAATTTCTATTTAATTATTCTCATAGGCAAAAAAGAAGGAAAAGAAGGTTTTACTGCTAGGTACCATTAAGAGGTGCTAACGGAACCCCATCTGGGTTTTTTCATGGCGCATTATGAACAATATTTCTAATTAAATTTATTCAAAAACTTACATCAAGTTATACATTAACGACCTTATTCATAAAATCCACGTTAAGTTGAGAAATGCCTTAAGTTTTATCTTTCTATCTCTCTCTCTCTTCATTAAAGACAGGCTTAGAGATATTTAATACTTAATTTAAATAAAAGTATGGTTGAAAAGCTTTTGACGTGTTAAAAATTGTCATAATTATTTCATTATTGTTTGTTTTCATTTTGGTAACAATGCATGTGTTAGTGCTTTTTACGTGTTTTAATTAAGTCATACGGTTGATACCTTAACAATTGTCGTGATTTTTTATTCCTAAAAGTAATGGAAAATTTCTGTCGATTTAAGATCAGCGTAAGCTTGTAGGCGTATAAGTAAATTTTAATTTTAAATGTTGTCTACTTCAAAGGAAATTATTGTAGAAAATTATAATATTATAGCAGACAATATTACTAATTGACTTGTTTTTAAGCGACATAAATAGCATGGTTTTCTCATTCGTCTATAGTATGTCCAAAGTATAATTTCAATGTGGTATACAAATTTCAATTGCATTTGATTTAAAGTGGTTTAATTTTTTTATTTGCCATTTACTATAAGCTTGATACTATCTTCCTTGACGTATCTAAAGTTTTATGTAAAGAAGTTTAAAAATAAATTCTTTTTCCTAGATGGGGTACGAGCGAGAGCTGGAGTGTTCCCGCGTCTCCCCTGCCCCCGCGGGCGCCTCCCCCGCGCCCCGCCGATTAACACCACCGCGAGCCCAGCTCTCCCTACCAAATTTACCCGGGTTCCAGAGACTTGCTCCATTGGGACAGGAGTTTCCATCAAGCCCGCTTGCTGCACTACAAATACAACTATAATCAAACCGGCTTGGCGCGAAGGACAGTGCTCCACCAAGCCGGTTCGCGTTATCGGACAAATAAGATCTAACCGGCACGTCTACTCTGCAACGTGAATGCTCCGCAAAAACGGCTTGGTCAGCCTAGCCTGTGCAGTCTTAAGCTCGGTCACACATTTGCCTCTCACTACTCTTTTGCTTATTTTGAATGTTATACTTGGCTTTAATATTATCAATATCATATAGATATCATATTTGTAAATAAAAATTCGCACAATTTAACAAAACGATTAAAAGGTTTTTATCATTTTCATGAAAAACCCAAAAGCAGACCGCTGCTGGACATTGATTGGCTTGGGGATAGTCGTCGCGCTTGGCTTTGAGTTAGTATTAGAATAGGATAAGTTAAAAATACCCGCGCGCGCTGATTTCGCCCTCCGCCCTTTTTTTTTGAAGTGAAAACTTCTTTAGAATCGTTTCGATTTGAAACTCGATAGCGAAAGCGGCACTAAAAAGAGACAAACATCTATAGGATTTAACATGCGAGAGAATGAGATAGAATACTGTATATTGGACATGGGACGAGTACTCGGTTTGGATTCTCGGCGGATTCGGCCTTTTTTTAGGGTTCGGCCGAGCACCGAGTATTAACGGCCGAGTACTCGGCCTTACTTATATTCCAGGGAAAAATAAAGACACAAAGCCAGTTTTTATCATTATTATTATATTAGAGACATTAAAACATCAGGAACATGAGAAACAGTAGAAATATTGAGAACGTATATAAAAGAATCTATAATAGAAATTACTAGTGCTAATATTTAAAATGTAAGACAGGAAGATTGTGATGCTAAAACTCTAGTTTTCGGCACTATTTGGATCTAGTTTGCTACTTTTTGCTTCATCAATTGTACATTATTTCGAAAAAAAAATTATCGAGTAAGTACTTGTATGTACACCCGAATACTCGGCCGAGTACTCGGCCTAGATTGGGCCTCTATACTCGGCGAATCATTACTCGTTCCATGTCTACTGTATATTGTTTCCTATTATCTCGGTCTCCTTTTCTGAAGGTTTCACTTCTACCGCGTTTTAACTGCATTTTGTCATCCTTGATGCCGATGACAAGAAAAAAGAAGAAAGCTAGTTGGTGGAGAAATATTTAATTTAAGCGGAAACGTATGGAAACCGTATCAACCTTAGGATACAGAAGATGTGACCCTTCGCACTTCTCCGCGTGCGCCCGTGTTGTACAGTCAGCAACTTAAGGTTTTGCTTGCGCGGCCTTAGTACATGTTTTGATAATATCGTTCTCGTATCATTATCAACTAAAATATTCGAAACTGAAATAATGGAAATATGACGTACAAAACTGAAGATGTACAAAACTCATGCTCGGTGTTGTAGATCTCAAGTTACCGTGTATAATTAATAAATAATTATGTTCCGTTTGTGACTATTAATACGCCATTTTTCCAAGACTACGTGATTTCCAAGTCCATTTTTACGGATCAAACAGATTTGTTAATCATCTATGTGTAGCTTCAGTAAGATAGTAATTAAAAACTTTGTCTTATACCAATGAACTCTAAAAACGTGCTTAGAGTTCGTTGCGTTGTACTATAAAAACTAAGTGAATACAACTCATAGACCACCAAGACTAAAGTCGGCTGTAATTTTTGTCGTATTTACCAACGTTTGTATTCAAATGTTTGATTTGTTGTGTACATTTAATGAACGCGAACATTTGTCATGTTAAATTTGGACAGCAATGGCTTGTAATGTTGTGACTATTTAAAACTACGGCTGAAATTATTGAATAATTCGGGCTTATTAACTGTATATTTTCTGAAGGATATAAATTTATAGTGTATTGAAGGCACTTGCATCTATAGTGTATTGAAGGCAGTTGCTTTGAGACTCATTATTTTTCTTTATTTCTTTCTCTCTCTAGACTTCTAGACTTCTTTCTATTGCGTTTTTCAGTAAAAACAACACACAACAATTATTTATATCTATAGTTTTGTACATTTTTTTAGATATACACCTGTCTTTTCAATTAAACTAATAATGCGTGTGGGAGTAATTATTTATATTTAATTGTGCAGGAAGTATATGGATGCAGGTAGCTCAGGACCGTGCTTTGTGGCATACCTTGGGGGAGGCCTATGTTCAGCAGTGGAGTTGTGAAGGGCTGTAATGATGATGATGATGATGATGTGCGGTTTTTTCTATTTGTGAATTAGTAAACACTGCGTGCAAATTATTGCTGTTTCTTTTTTATATCTGCGAAGGGATATTTAGTCGTAAAATGAAATCATTTTGAAAATAAAATGAACCTAAGTGCAATTCGACAACACACAAAGTAGAGCTTTTGTACGCATATAAATTTACACCAAAAAGTTCAAGACAAATATGTTGTAATGTAAATATTGTAATAACTTTGCGGTTACTTTTAATATTGCGAGATTTGATTAGTTTATAACTATCCACATTATTGCTGCGAGACACTATTGCTGTTAAGCAATTTTAGATCTTATGTACAACCACGATAGCGTGTAATTTAATATGTAATAAGCATGGTCGCTTATTATTCATTCATAAATAGTGCAAAGAGACTTCACATATGTTGTTAAAAATATACTAATAAATTCCGTATTCAACTGTTTCAACTTAACCCCTCAACAGTATCTTTCTAAATTACGTTGCAACCATTGCGGCTCGTTGTATTTACTGCCCGGGACAAATAATTTACTTAATTTTGTGTTATTTTTTAAATATATGGGTATAATGTTATGGTTTATAGAATAAAATATTATAAACATCTATTTCTCATCTAAATTTATATTGTTATTTGTGAATTAGTGCTAAAAATGAAGTATAATATTAACTAAAGTATTTACAAAATGGCGGTAAATGGCGAGAATTGAATTGCCGCAATGGATGACAGTTATTTCTGACAATAGATGTTTTACTGTTGAATTTTATTTCATAATAACTATTTGAAAAGAAATGTATACACTGTGTGGCAACACACTTTATACTTAATATACATTTATACTGTGTGAAGTCCCATTCAGATTAATTCCTATTTATTATTTTTATATAAATATGTAGTGCAAATGTTTTTGTCGATGTATATATCATGTATTATATAAATAAGGGAAGTTGGAAATGCAATATTTAAATGATGAATCTTCATCTTAGGTAATTGCAATTTGTTTATAAAATAGAGAATTTTCAAGCGCTGTTTATTCATCAGTACGTTTTATTTTTTGACCAAATGTATAAAATAGTTTAGAATAGATTTTTTATCTTCCTTGCAGGTGCAATCAGATTCGCATTTTATATTTATTTACTTGTTCATCATTGACAAATTAAATTACTTTTGTTAAAATATCTATCAGGTGCTGTTTTTGTAAATATTTTTATAAGTTTTAAAGTCAAAGTCACGTAAAATGATTTACATATAATTAAGTAAATAGTGATGTAATTTTTTTTTAATTCTCCAATATTTTGAAGGCATTACAAAATATTGTTCTAATGTTAAATTATTAAAGAATTTAAAAGGGATTTTCTTTTTAACTTTTCATTGTCAATATGTTCCGGTGATTTTTTTTTGATTGTCAGTTTGAGCTTAAAGCGATAGTACATAATAATCTGCTTTTAGATGAATGAAATAGTTCTAAATCAAGGAAACGCATATTCGGAGGAATTTAAATATCTTGTTGACAATATTTATGCAGAAACTCTTAAATGCGTACGGCCATTGTATTAAAAATGCTCGTATAAAGCTAGAGAGCAAAGTTTGTGATTTTGAGCACCGTGTGCCCCACGTTGGGCGCCAGGTCGATGGTCCGGCGACACTATATTTTTTTGTTGTGGCGAGATATAAAGTTATGAAATAGATAGTATATAAGATAGCATATGGTTCTGTTAAGGAAATTCACATTTTAATAAACTGTGTTTCAAAGAAACTGTCAGAAAATGGAGAACATAAAAAACTTATTACAAAATAAGATAAATGTCAATTCTCTTGGTTTTTTTTTGTTATATAAGTACAAAATCTTATTCGTCCATTTTTGTAAATATGGATTTTTTTAAAGAAATAGATTACTCTGTAATTCATAAAAAAAAACTTTAAATGATTAAGTTCCCAAAATATGCTCTCCATTTTATCGATGGATATTCAATAAGTATTTTAATTTAACCAGACAGTAACAAAGATTTCTATGTATACTGCTAGACTGGCAATTCAGAACAGAAATTGTGTCACGGCTGGGACTTCGACTGGGCGGGTTAGCTGGTACGCTAAATATGCACCCAGATGTATTGTCATTCGCTACAGTTACTGTTTTTAGGCAAATACAAAATTAATGTTACATACTTATCTGGAATAAACTTAAATCACTGACAAAGTTGCACGCATAAATAATAGCTTTTTTTAGTCACATAAAACAAAATTAGTGTTAGATTGTCGAATATAACGTTGGTGGTTTATAGAACAAAGAACTCGTCTTTTCGTTCGCTCGCAGTCGACTAAAGAAGTTGCAGAGAATTGACCGTAACTTATTGCGCAAAGTATTAAGGCCGCAGAGCCCATCTGGTCGTATTCATAGAAATCTGTGGACAATAGACATATTTTACGCAACATAGAAAAAATATATGCAGGTATAACAAGTGTAACTGTTAATATAACTATATAACTTTTGTGATATTCACATTTTAAACGTTAGCTTGTAACATATAATCGTATAAGCTAATGTTTGAATATTCTTATTTATTTTTAAAGGATGGTAAAATCTTAAGAACTGCTTATTTTCTTGCCGAGTACACTCAAAACCTAAGCAAGTGTATTACAGTCTCTCTGCTTTTGATGTTATTTTGTATGAATACTAAGGTTTAATAATATCAAGATGGTCCATATCGCCCTTTGGATTTCGTAAGGCGACAGAAGGAAGTAAACCATGAGATGAGCAACAGCGTCTTCTTAATAATAGAGAACTTGCATGAAATTTTTTTGTCACAAATTTATATATAAGTAATTGAATGGGAAAAAACTCGACTTGTGATTGGTTGTGGCTCTCATCCTCAATGAGTAAAATATCCGTTGATGATGTGAGCCAATCGCAATTATGCGATTCATTTGTATTTTTTTATTCAAATCACCATGTGTCATAACAAAACATATTGTATAGTGTATAGTGTAGGGGTAACGATTAAAAAAAAAAACAAAAAAAAATATTAACCTGTATTATGCAATGACAATTTTTTTTGACTACGTAATCAAGAGTGATTTACTCTCACTGGTGTTTGGTTTACGTTTTAGAAAAATCCATTTTTAATTGTAAAATGACATGAAAATCAATTGTTATTTTTTTCTTAATTTTTAGTAAACTTTTTAATAAAAATTTATAGCGTTGGGTGATAAACGAGCAACACGTTACTGTAAGATATAAAATATATTTACAAAACGAAGCCCCCCCCCCCCCACCAGAGGAAAAAAAATAAAGAAAAAAAAAAACCCCCCCCCCAACCCCTTAATTTTGATAAAGAAAGCCACAACCACCAACCACCCGGTTCAAAAAAAAAAAAAAAAACACACACTCCACTTGGTGGTAAGTGGATGCTGTGGCCCATAGACATCCACATTTATCTACAATTAAGAACATCGCATTTGCATTTTGATTGCGGACTAAGATGGAATACTTCGATTCCAGTAAAAAGGGTCTCAGGTTCTCTACACTCACCATACCAAACACAGTAGCATTATCTGTTATTTTAAGTTGGCATTCGTGAGATCGTTGTCCTGCCCCGGTCGAGTCGACCCATTCGTACTACAACTATAATGTAGTGTGGGTTTACCACGTAAAATTAAAAAAAGATCATGCAACTTCTCTATTAGAAAATAAAAAACTGCTGTTTTTAATCCATCTGCCAAGCGTGGCAATAATTTGGGGGAGGCCTATGTTTAGCAGTTGGCTTATAGGCTGAAATGGTAAACGAAAACAGTTACATTGAAGCCGTGATAGCTTAGTTAATGAGCGCTCGTCTTAAATTTCATAGAGTACGATTCTTCGAACCTCACCGGTTATTTCAATATCAAGTGTCGGTTTAGCATGCAAGCCTATGTGTCGAGAGAATTTACAAATCATTCAAGAGCACATGAAGTCTGCAAACAGTGTGGCAGCATGGTGAAGTCTACTACATCTTAATACATCTATCTGAAATGAAGAGGCACGTGCAAAGCCGGGGGAAGTTTAGGCTATTTTTGTATTTATGAGTGTACTCCAAATTGAATAATCGGTGCCCAATTCTGGGACTTGACAAATAAGGATTGTTCCTTACCTTTTTGCATTAGTGTCGGGAGACGATCGACCTCCATATAGTAGCGCCCTCTAGTCCGCACGCAGCGTTACGTGCAAACGCCTTAGGATAAGTAAGTCGTGACTATATTTGAATGAAATCTATTTAAGAAACAATGATTGATTTGTTTTCTTTTGTAATTATCGCGATAATGATTATTTTATTGTATAATGTAATAAATGCGGATCAAATTTTAATGTTTGTTTTATTTTATACCACTTTAAGAATTATGTTTCGAAGATGTACTCAAGGTTAAGGCAAATCCTGAACTTTGTGAGGTACAAATAAGACATTTCTAATTCTCTCTCTCTCTCTCTTCAAATGTATGGTATGGAAATACCGGAAGGAAGGTAATACCAGAAATGTCTTAGTGGGAGTTATACCCCACAGAATAAACACAGCGGGCAACTCAAATCAAATGCAGAAACGGATACAATAGTTATTTTAGTGTTTAATACTGAAATAACTTGTAATAGTAAGTTTATATTTCTATTAAGAAAATATATATTTATTTTTATTAAATATTCTTTATTGCACACCTACAAAACCTTTTAAGAGATGTGTATAAAAGACTTATGCAGTGGGGGGTCTGATTGCTGACAGCAATTTCTTTTTTGTTTTTCACAATATAAATAATATCTTCCTACGGAACTGTTTTTCTAAGAAAAAATATAACAACATGCGGTTCCACTATATTCAGTTTTTCATTAGAGTGACAGCTAGCATCAGCTACAAACATACTTTTATTCGGTATAATACACCTTCATATCTTTGTCAAAGTATGTAGTTAGGTAGCACGAATGGATTGGGTAAAAATTTCACGCAGGGAAAGATCATGCTCGCACAAAAGACATAAACACTCACCTCTCACCACTCACACTCGCCTGTCACCCAGAGGGGTAGGCAGAGACTACAGACTTCCATTTGGCACGATCCTGACACACCTCTCTTGCATCCTTCACATCCATACACCTACGCATACATGCTCGTCGGTTAAGGGTACTCCTAACTTGGACCGTTTTCAATAAATCGCCAATTTGGTCGATAAATTTTCGCCTAGGACGTCCCTTTCCGACTCTGCCATTCACTTCTGCACCATAAATTTTCTTTGTCACTCCTCATTCATTCTTTCCACATGACCAAACCACCGAAGCATTCCTTTCTTAATCCTGGTCACAACATCATCTTGCAAACCACACTCTTCTCTTATTACACAATTTCTTACCCTGTCATTCAGATTCAGCCCTAACATACTCCTTAACGACCGCATTTCTACTGCGTTTATTCTACTCTCGTGCTTCTTCTGCCACACCCAACTTTCACTACCATACGTTAAAGTAGGGACCAACACAGCATTGTGAATTGCCATACGTGCCTTTTTCGACACATTTTGACTCTTCACAATAGAGTGCAAGGCCCCATTTACTCTATTTCCCGCATTCACTCGTCGTTCTATATCCTTATCATATCTCCCATCCCTGCTAAATACGCAGCCCAAATATACAAACTCATCTACTTGCTCGATCATTTCCCCTTCTATTCTTATTTCACAAATCGTTTTACTTTCTTCTCTTTCAAAAACCATAACCTTCGTCTTACTTGCGTTCACTTTCATACCCCTTTCTTTTAATGATCCGTTCATTAATGTAACCATCATTTGCAACTCGGCCGCCGACGACGCAAAAATAACTTGATCATCGGCGTACAAAAGGCATTTGACGGTTAACTCACCCATTCTTAATCCGCATTCTTCAACTTTCAAATTTTGCAAACAACTGTCCATAAATAGGTTGAACAGCCACGGGGAAGCCACACAGCCCTGACACCTTTATGGATGTCAAACCAGTCCGAGTAGACCCCGTTGATCCTAACACAAGCACTAGAGTCCCTATAAAGAGACTCCAATGCCTGTATCAAGCCAGCGCTCAACCCAAATGAGTTCAGTGTTTGCCATAGCAAATCCCTATCCACTCTGTCATAGGCCTTTTCCAAGTCCATGAACGCACAAAAAACCTTTTGGTTTTTGGCCAGAAACTTCTCCGCGATCATGCGCATGGAAAAGACTTGATCTGTACATCCCATTCCCTTTCTAAATCCCGCTTGCACATTCCAAATTTTTCCATCGGTTTCTTTCACGACCCTTTCAATCAGTACCTTAGCATACAGTTTTTCCCACAATGCTAAGAAGGCTGATGGCCACGGTAGTTTTTACATTCCTGCTGCGACCCTCTTCCTTCATATACTGGGACTATCACGGCTTTGCACCAGTCTACCGGTACCCGCTTCAGTTCCCAGCATAAATTAAACAAGGTGTGCAGCAGGCCTGCCACCACTTCCTTTTTATTTAGAGCATTTCGAGTGAAACTCTATCATATTCGGCAGCCTTACCTGCTTTCATGCTTTTCATTGCTTTCATTATTTCATCTATACTTATCTCGCTACCTCTTTCCTCTTCTTTGGGTGTTTCTACTTCACTTAGTACACACGTTGTCTCCTCACTCATAAACACGCTTTCAAATTTCTATTCCTTCCATCTCTTTAAACTCCAAACTTCATCATTCAGAATATAGCCATTCTCGTCTCTTATAGCATTCAACATAGGCTGTTTTGAATGTCCCCTGGCAGTTCTTACCAGTTTCCAGAACATTTTAATATTTGCCTGGAAGTTATCCGATATTCTTCTATCATTCTTATCCGTTCTTTCTTGCTTTTTTCTTTCAACTACTTCTTTTACTCTCTTATTAAGATGTCTAAAGACTGCTTTTTTTCTTTCAATATCACCATTCGTATCACTAGAATTAGCAGTCTTTGTTGGTAGTAAATCTAGCCATGCTCTCTTCTTTGCTTCAACTTCCATACGTATTTCATCATCCCACCATAACGTATTATTTTTCCTTTCATTCTTTCTCTTACTAACACCACATACTTCGGTAGCTGCATCCACTAAACCTTTCTTTACATTTTGCCATATATTCTCCAAGTCTAACTCCTTCATACATAATTCATCCAAACCACTTATATTTTCTTTCAGTCTACATTTGAACTTGTTTTTATCACTTTCATCTTGTAACCTTTCTGTTCTAATACGCTGTAACGCAGTGGTAGACACAGACGATCGATGGCGCCAACGCCTGAATAGACCATTAATTCGGCATAAAACTAAATAATGATCCTTTCCTACGTTAGAACCCCGGTAAATCTCGTATCTACCACTGCGCCCCTCAATCTTTCATCCACAATTATGAAATCTATCATGCTTCTATCGTCACCTCTTTCCCAAGTATACATGTGAATCCTCTTGTGGCGAAAGCAAGTGTTCGTCACAAAAAGATTCTTTTCCATACATACGGTGAGGAGACTTTCACCATTCTCATTTGTACTTTCATCACCAAACGTTCCCAATATCCTTTCATAACCAAGCCCGCCCCAACCCTTCCATTAAAATCTCCTAGCATAATAATATTTTCATTTCCCTTACACTTCATTAACACCATCCTTACCATTTCCCAAAACTGCTCTCGGATATAAGTGGGCTTAGACATGTCTGGGGCGTAGACCCCTAACACAAACAACTTCTTTAAGCCCACTTTCATTCGTATCCATAGCAGTTTTGGGCTTACACATTCATACTCTTTCACACATTGGCCCATTCTTTCTGAAAGGATGATACCTACTCCCTGGCATGCCCGCTCGATCTCGTCTACACCAGACCAGTATGCGGTATACATGCCATGTGTATTGACATCCTTCCCCTTCTATTCTATCTATTCTACATCTATTCCTCTATCATACATCATATCGCATACTTCATCCATTTTATCATTCATTGCCCCACATACATTCAACGTAGCCAGACGGGCCTCTGCAATCCACTTTTCGCCTCTCCGGGAGACAGAACGTGACGAGTGGCGAACCACGCACAATACCATTGTAAAATATCTGTTTCGAATGGCGAGTGACGAAATCCGGAAGCTTCTGGTAAAGAGGCCTTCCATCTGAGTTATCAGGAGTGACAAGACATCTATATTTTGATTGTATGTGATTCTATAGGTTGCAGCATCAATTTACCACCAGGTACAGGTCTCGTTTGCGGTTCGGGTGAACGACCTACGATCACTCCATTAAAATAGTGCGTAATCACTGCATTTGCTTAATAAAAACAAGCCATATTTATTGACAGTTCTAGATGAGTGCCAAAGGTAGATTTATCTAACCTGTCACCTATTCTTCTCATTGGCATTCGCATCCATTTTAGTGATCAAAGTAAACAATCTAATATGTAATATATATTAACTCCTGTCTAAACAACAACACATCCGGTTGCTGACCGCTAAGATTAGCGGTTATTAAATGGCGAATAGCAGTGTCTACTTTCCCTGAGGATGAATCTTAGAGAGGCGAATTACGTGTCGTATTATCGACGACTACGTATACGACGGTGTCTCCTAGTGTAGTGGTGGAGATGAGAATGAATAGTGCACGCAATTGAGGGAGGGCTGTAGGTGCTCTTCACACTAAGTAAGACGCATTTTATTTCTTTAAGCCGATATAAGTAAAGTAATTTTTACCAACTTTAATATAATGGATTTTGCAAAGTTACGCCTGATTCTATTAATTACATACTGAGTAATCTATGATTCGCCGTTACCTAAAAGTTCGCTTTGAGTTTATTTCCTCCAACGATCGTCATCTTCCCACTGACAACCTTTTACTTCGTACTCCAGTATTCATCCAGCTTCTTCAAAAAATCATATTCTGTTACAACTGTACGCTTGTCGAATTTCTTACCTTTTAGATATTTGACGTGCTTAGTCGTCCATTTTTCCTTCAAAAATCTTATCAAGTGTTGGAACTCAAAAATTTCTCCATCATACTTCCCACACTTTCTTGTCCTAATTATCCTTTACATCATCGCCGTGAGTTTTATTTTTAAAATTTGATTGTATTATTTGTACACGCTTGCTTCGATATTCAACAACAAAATGAACAATAGTATTCAACTGTTGCGTGAAAAATTTACCTGGAAGAAATCGCTTACAGAGCGATAAGACCGCCTATTTTACCTTATTTATGTATCTATTTATAATTTTCTTGTTTTTGTACTATGTTTTGGAGTACAATGAAGAGTAAGTAATGATATATTACATGACTGATACCTGATACCCATATTCTGCCTGTCAATAACATTAAAACTTGGGTTTTTAAGCTACTATTTCTTTATTCTTACATAAAATCACAATTTTTATAACTAAGGATTGGTGACAAACAATACAACTACAAAAAGTAAACAATTTGAAAATAAAAATAGCTTTATTGATCAATAATCTTTATACAATAATTCGCAATGACTAATCAACAAACTACTTACTATATAACGAAAACATAATTATAGCATTAAATATGTGTCTCAAATATAAAAATATAGAATCATAAAAATCCTATCGATGGCAATGTGGTAACATATTAAAAAAATAGAAAATAAAGTCGCAACTGACAACCAAATCGAATTCAATGCTGCTATCACAGGGAAAAGTGTTTTTTTATTGTTTCGTGCGACGAACATTGTCAACAACGAAATTTTCTGTAGATATGACAAAAAGTGGAACGATAATCAACAGTCAACGTCACGAAAGTAGTGCTTTGGCGGTAGGGTCACTGCAGTGGCGAAGCCTCTATAGAAGCCGAAAAGCCAGGCTTGCCTTTTCAATCAAAAATATCAACTAATAAAATAACTCGCAAACTGTTTTAAACTATTTCAAATTTCTTGCGTGCTCCTCTGTTGTACACAGGTCATGAACTCGTAGCGTATATGTAACGTCGACACTTGGTAGTTTGCTTTCAATTCGAACATGATTGACGACACTGATTCATGTTCTCTCCGTCTCAAAGCGAACACGCAATGGACTGATACGTTTGGAAATTCACTTCACATTTCAATGTTTATGTTTGTTTTTGTTGTGTCTGTTGAAAATTTATTATGTTTTTCTAAAGATTTTTAGTGAAAATGGAGGATAATATTGGAGTATATAGTGTAGATCAGAGTGTATATATAGAGGAGTGTTCTTTGTGATGAATTGAAGTGTGTTAAAGTGCCAATCGGCGAAAAAAAGGTAAAATCTTTAAACTATGTTGAGAAAATACACAAGGTCAGGAGCGTCTTTCGGACTTATCAATTATCGCATTTGAAAAACAGTTATTGGTACAATTGAAATGTTCACCAATATTTTACGCGGACGTAATCAAATCTTTCCTTGAGAAAGAGATTTTTACATTCAATTTAGAATATAAATAATTTGTTTTCTTTTTTTTTTTAATTTTGTACATAGTATGTTTGTACTTTGTTTATGTATAGTATTGTATGTAAATATCTTTTTCTTTCGCTCAAGCAAACCCAAACGGCTTTTTTCAAAACCACCAAAGGTATGTAATTGCTGATATGTCATACAATCTATCTAGCAGTAGTATGCCTTCTGTGTGCTTTGTTAAACACGTCCGCGACAGCACTGAATAAGAAACTGAAGAGTGGAGAAAGATCAAGATTGGTGTATTTTTATATAACTGCTTAAACAACAAATTTTGGAGCCCTAGGTTCGCCACTGGGTCACCGTCTGAAACGTATGACACAATTTTTCAATGAAAGCCTGCCCGACAATCTCGATTCTGCAGATTACCTTGTATTTAGAGTGGCGAATTGTTGTCTCATTTTTTTAATATTTTTCATAAATAATGAACATGTTAAAAGAGATGACCAAACTAATCTGCGAGGATGTGGCGATTGGACAAACCAAACAGAAAGTAACAGGCAATGGTCTCTATAGTTATTTATATTCTATTTGTAACTGTATACGCTTTATATTCTCCACCATTGTTACTTACGTAATGTTCGTGAGATTGGTCCATAGACATAGAGAAGAATGGACTGAGCGTTAGCCTCAGAAGCGACCATTCTCTAGAAAAAGACAAAGCGACTGTGCAGCCAATACCTGTCTCTTTCCTGGAAGCCACTCTCGCCTCTCGTGACCGCCGGTGACGTGGACCTATCAGAATTCTAGAAAGAAACAACCAGAGACCACTTTTCGTTGTGTATCACTGCACAAATGAATACGGAACACACAGTCCATTCTCTCTATATCTATGGAATGGTGCAAAATTCAAAAAGTGAATGGTGCCCGTTGCAAAGTGAGATTATTTGAACAGCTAAATATACTCTTCAACTGTCGTGTGACTCGTGTGGCGCTCCATAATATTATGGAGCGCCACACAGTATTTGATTGCAAGTTGCGAATTTATATCGTACCTTTAATTAAGCCTGGTTAACATTACTTCAAAAATTAAGTTTAAGGTACGTCACAACATATCTTGTAATAATACTAGGTACTCAAGAATATTTAACAATACCAAATTTTATCTTTTTATTAAAATAACAATAACAAACCATAAAACCAATATCCATATTACTAAGGACATAAATTAGATCCAGACAAACAAAATGTAGATAATCGAATCAACAATTCAAACAATTACAATATCACTAATTTAAACAAAAAAAAAAAATTGTGCGTGTCAGCTTCGACGCGCGATAGTAGTTTACTCCTTAAATAAAGTCACATAAGGTGTATTCTACTCAGCACTGTTAAAATAACATATGAGATGAAATTAGAGAATGCGAATGAAGTAGATGACGCTATTACTTAACACGCGTTTAGTATAAATTGCGGGAATGTGTTGCCCGTTTTTATCGACTTCACTTTTTGATTACACTCGATTTCGCTCCCCTACTATTTGCGTATATGAAAATCGATTCTTAAGGAGTAAACTCAAAAACAAAAAAACCCTATAAGTATATTTTATACGATAACGAAAATATGGAAACATTAAAATATTTATGAAATATTTTTGTGTGGTCTTTTAATGCGGAAATTGATTATTATTTTTATTGAGAACTGACCATATTCCTTTAATATATCTTCAATATGGATCTTTTTTCTTAATATACTTGAAAATTCAATAATTATTAGTATTTTTGACGATTGATTTTACTGCGGAGTTTCCATATCTATATCTTAGATAAACAAAGACGCGCTGCGTGTATTTCAGGTAACGGAACACACAGTAAGGGCCTCAGTAAAGGTTAAAAATTATTAACTATTGTTGAATTTTGAAGTCTATGTAATACAATATTCTTTGTTGTTAAAGTGGATACGAATAATAAAGCATACTTTATTTACATTATTTAACAAAAGAAATACTGAGCTGCCCCATTACGTAAACGTTGTTACCAAATGATATACCTTTTAATATTGTAGTTAAAACCTACATGAATTATATTTTAGTTAAATTTCAATGGTATAAATAATGATTCATTTTG